CCCTCCCCCTCCATCTCCCCCAAAACACCTCCCGCTTACCCGGCCACCCCCCACTCCTCCTCGCATCCCCCTCCCCTCCCCTCTCCCTCCTCAAAAAATTCTCCATCGCAGCCTCATGCCGTCCCAACGCCTCGGGCCACTTGGTCACGGGGTTCACAAGCGGGTACGTAGACTCATTATACGAGACTCTGACGTTGGGATTCAGAAAAACGCCGTGGGAGAGGGAGAGTGGGTTATCGGTGTGGATGAGACAGCATTCGCTGGCTTCGAGGTGGGTTTGTGCTAGGCTGTCGGGAATGGCGCGGAAGGTGAGGGGCTTCTCTGGTTTTTTTTGTTGGTGAGAAGAGGAGAGGGAGAGGGAGGAGATAGGGGGGTAGAAGGGGGTTGCGTCGAAGGCAACGATGCCGTTCCAGCAGGATTGCACGGGGATGGGGAGTAGTGCGTAGAGAGCTTTTAGAGAGGCTTTGGAGGCGAAGAAGGGGTAGTGGGTTGAGATTGTGGGGTTGCCGGAGGAGTCGCGGAGGGCGAAGGTGTCGTAGCTGGTTGTGTCTTAGCGAGGGGTGCGTAAAGGGGGGATGGAAGGGGTGGTACTATGTTTGGGCGTTGTTTTGGAAGTCTAGGGAGCAGGCTGCTGCGTACTTTCCGTCGCGGGTGGAGAGGAGGGTTGCGATGTCTTCGTTCTTGAGAGGGGAGTTAGTTTTTAATATCATGGAAATGTGATGTATGTATAGATGAGGAATTGGATGTGATGGAAAGGGGAAGTGCCACGTGATGACCCCTCCTTTCACTACCTATCCGTGGTACGAAAGATCGTCGCACAAGACTCACAGTAAAAGTAACATCATTAATCCACAAAACCCTATCCCACTGCCTACTCTCATCATTAACAAGAGGCTCCATGGCTTTATTCCTCGTCTCCGCTAAAGCACTAAATCAGAGTCTCACCATTAGCCTACATTCCAACATTTGAAATAATTTGAGGTCCAAGAGAAAACCTCAGGATTAAACCCACCTAATCCTCCTCTTCTCCCAACCAGTCTCTCCCCTCCCAGTCTCCACCCACCCCTTCTTCTCTCCTGCAGGCGGATGTTCGATCCCCCAAATCTGCTCTTTGACAGTCTCTCCGAGCTGAATTCTATTCTGTACCCCAATAGCATCAAGCATTTCCTTCAAATCAGATAATGCATCCTTGGTATTCTCCTAGATCCCATTTCTTCGTCAGCACTCGCACTCTCACCCATCAAACATCCAGACTTCCAGTCCCTCCTCGTCTCACCCAACTTCCATCCCCCCTCCTCCCCCCCCAAAAAGGAAAGAAAAAACAAGCAAAAAAAAGAAACAAAAACCCACCTGACTCCCACTCTCCACAATCGAAACAAACACATTCTGCGGCCCCAAAAACCGACAAAGATCCACAAGCGCCTCATTCCAATACCATCTCAAAATATATTCCGAATTACGATGTATGGACGCAATATAGATCTTCTCTCCAACCAGGCCGGGACTTAACTTATCTGTCCTTTGCGGTGGGACATGAGAGGTAAAGAGAAGCGTCGTATCGAGGAGGAAGAGAACGAAGCTTATTAGAAGAAGGGTGAAGAGAGAGCGGCGACGACGACGGAAGGAGCGGCTGGGTAGGAAGACCATTTTTACTCCTTTCCCGAGACACCGGAAGAGGCTCAGCTACGAGTACTGGAGGTGGAATTTCCGCTGGAAGATGGTAGATTGGTGAGAGTGGAAGTCGTGGGATGTTGGAGACATCGAGGTTCGCAATTGCCGTACTTGCTTCCTTGCTTGCTTTCTTTGATGATGATGTTGTGTGTAGCTAAATCGTGCGAAACGTACTGTACTCTCTGTCCTATCCGTCTCAATAATATAATACCCCTCTCAAATAATTTAACCCGACAGAACAACGTGATTCACCTCTTCCCTCCTGCAGAACCCTCTATCGCGTCTGCGTTTCCAGCCTCGAGGAAGTCAATTGGAAGAGAGCAAAGTAAAGTTCAAGTTGTAACACCACAGCCTAAGGGAACTTTAGACGAAACAGAAACACCATTCCTTTCCGGCTACTTCAACATTACAGTACAAGCCACAAGCAAGCAAACAAATGTACGCAGTACACAGCAACAGCAACAGAGAATGGCAATAGCAAATGGGGACTGAAGGAAGACGAAAAGTAAAGACAGAAAAAGACCCAGGCACCAGTTGGGTGTTATAACGTATGGAAGGCTGGTCCGATCAACGCATTGTCAACGGGTGTATTAGCATTAGCGTTGGCGCAAGGGAGGCTCAAGTACGGGATGCTATTCGTACAGTTAGACCCGTTAGACCAATATCCGTACCACGAAACTCTCTTCTTACCGTCAAACCAACACGCAATATATAGCGAAGTGCAAATCGCAAGTCTCCGTAGCAGTGATAGCTTTCAGGCTTTGCGATGTGTGAATGAATGGTTATTGGTCCAACTGTCCGAATGGGATGCCGTATGAAAAAGAAGGAAACTACGAATGGAAGGGTGTAGGTGATTGGTTGGATCCGGCCAAGAGGCGGGTTGCCACCATTTCCCAGCCAACCTCGCATCGCTCGGATTCTCACATGAGACAAAGTATAATTAGTGCGCCAAATCTCTTGGTGGGAAATCTTTTTCGTGATTGTTGAGTAAACCGGTGGGCTAGAAAATTGACAGAGTCCTTTTCTGTTATAGTTCGAAGCATTAAAATCATTTTAGTCATTGGACTCACTAAAACGATTAACCACGAAACTTTGTAGAAAATAATCTCTGTTACTTTTCTTGCCCACCGGAAACGAGCATACCCACAAAGTGGTGTTCTAGATTAGCTCGAGATCAGTCAAAACGATAACTACACAACCTGGCGTTCAGCAGATATCTTCTAAAACCACCGACATTTGCTTGAAGAACTTCCAAATCATCCCCCGGAATACTTTGGCGTAAAATATGCATTGTCCGTACTACCATGCAATGCACGATTCCGATACTGTCCAGCAGGTTCTGCGCGCGCAAAATGAGAAACGCTTCCGTACGTCTTAGTAATCCTCTCTTTGCCTAGCCATTTCTCTCTCTAAAGTATCTTTGACGAACTTTTCTCGAGCCGCCAGCATTTCTTCTCGCGCCCCGTCTGGATTCTCAACGCCATCCACATAACATGCCGAATTCCGTTTATGCTAGAAACAATTATCAGAGGGATTGAACAGGGTAATATCTCTCTCAGGAAAGAGAAATGCACTTACATATGATAAGCCCCCTGCATAATCATAAGTTGTAGAACAAACAGGACATTGGTACTTGTGCGTTTTCGCAGTCTGGCCATTAGGGACGAGAGCTGGAGAAAATGTCCTACTTTCTGGGACATTCTCTCTCAACTCCATTGAGGGCAACTTTGCATTCGCAGGCATTGAGGTTCGTCTTTGTTTCATGCTTATATCACCTTGAAGTTGAGAAGATCCGTCACCATCTGAGATAACCTTGTACCGAAGGGAGCGGCCATCGATTTTTCCACTACTAGTAAGGAGAAGCCCATTTGCAGCTCTAATCTTACCCAATTCAAGGAATTTAGCCGTGCCTTGGTTTTGTGCCGATCCATCCAAATGGCTTGAGGTACCCGGTCGACGTAATGGCATTCTCCTTGATTGTTTACCATTTCTGATAGTAGTTGTACTTGTGGGAGTATGGTTGTGATTTATTGAAGGGTCCTCTCGTAAGGGAACCTTCTCTGTGGAATTAGTATGATTCGCATTGTTTGCAGTATCGGTCTGACCTTGTTGGAGACCTCCCGAGCTATCAGATGCCGGATTGTGAACGAGATCCCTATCAAGCCCCTGTGCATGTTGAGCGGAAGTCAATAATTGTTCCTGGGCCGGGGCAGCAGGAGGGGATGAGGATATCTCAATGATTTCGGGATCAGGGGTGGGTGACAAAAGCCTGTCTGGGGTTGGAGAAGTGGGTTTTTGGTGACGTTCTTGCCGTGCTGGTGTTGATTTTTCAGTGGTCTCCGGATTACGTCGTGGTCGTCCTCTTTTCCTTGGAAGGACTGGTTGGTCATCGTCGACACTCTGATCTATGCTCGAGTTTGCATCCACATGAGCTTGTTTACGCTTCAGCGAGTTATCGGATTGCTCGGATTGCTTTCCTGCTATGTGATTGTGCTGGGTTGTCGATTCAGACGTTGAATTCCGTGTCTCAACGCGAGATGTCTGCTGTTGTGGGTCTTTGGATTTCATAGGTGGAATTTCCACACGAGGAACACTTCGCTGTACCGGCAATTTTCCAGTTCGAGCTGCAGCTTCCAGAGCTTGGAGAGCTTGGAATACACCTTCCTGATTATGAATTGTCCTTTTCGGAGTTGAGACTGTACTCTCATTGGCTTGAGCTAGTCGTTCCTGCTGAGCTTGGCGTTCCTGCTGGGCTTGCCTTTCATGTTGAGCTCTTTCCTGTTCGGTTGGCCTTTCCTGTTGAAGTGGCACAAGTCTTTCAAAAGTGTGAACTCCGTGCTCTACAATGCTCACTCGATTATGAATTCCCTGTATCTGCCTCTTCAACTCTTCAACAACTTTGTTCCGCTGCAGATGATCCAATGGTTCGTTCTCTCTGTAGGTCTGGGTCGTCGTTTGTTCTGTGGCAGGTTGATCGGTCTTTCGCTCCAAAACCACAATTTGCCTTGCCATCTCGGCTAATGCACGTTTAAGGTCTCCCACTTGCGAGACATCCTCATAAAGCCTTCGCATATCTGACACAATGATCTCAATATCTCGGCTTAGAGATTGACCACTTATTCCACGAGCTTCTTCCTTCTTCCCAAGGGCATCGACTCTATATCCCAGTGTCCTCAGGTCAACACCGACTTTTCCAACGGCTCTTTTATCTTGCTCGTAGTTGGCCTGGAACTTTTGGCTCTCTTTCTGTTCATTACGAACTTCTGCCATGAATGATCTAAACATGGTCATCTCACCTTCGATGTTGTTTACGGCACTTGAGATACGAGCGATATCCTTTCTCTGGGACTCTATTGAGTTTTGAGCCCATCTCATAAACCCGGAGATATCGGGGTCTGGATTTGAGGGGGCAGCAGCAACGATGCTTCGAGCCCGAGATGAATCATCAAGTCGTTCTGAAGGCAAGTGCATTGATCTTCTGCGATCCCTTGGTGTTGCTATGGATCCTCGGGCACCGGAAGATGAGTTCCTCCTCCCTTCTGGATTAAGCATCACGCTTTGTTCAGCGCAGGGCTCGACTGGTAAACCCGTAGATTCGGAAATTAACGCTATGTTTTTCAGACGCAAAAGGAATTGGTCTCTGTATTCGAGATTAATAGATCAACTGATAGGAGCTTTATAACGAACGTACTTTTTGAAAATATGATTTGCTGGGGCGCTGACACATTGCAGGCCTATCGATGCACCTTGACATTTCTTGCAAATCACATCTTGCGTAAAGCTAATTTAATTTGTTAGCAAGTAAAAGAATGAGTTGAAAATGGCTACTTACCAATTGGCAACTGGAGAATTAGCCGCGGCCTGAGTTGGCTCACCATACCTTAAGAAACCATGGGTGTGATCAAGCATTGGATAATTGGGCGTAAAGTACGTCTTTCCAATGGCTTTCCATGAATTTCGGAATCTTGCCAACTCCTGGTGACATCGTGGACAATAGCAAATGACCGTCTCGTGTTGATCCATGACCACCAGGACGCCGCTTCAGCGGAGGTCCTTGACGCGTGTGAGGCTGAGACGAGAAGTCGAGTCGCGATTCAGGAAGGAAGAACTAGGGCTCAGGAAGTTGCAGGTGATCACGTGGGTTAGCGGGCCCACCTCAGAATAGGTATAGGTATGTCGGGTATCGGGCATGGGCAGAACTGAGATAGGGTCGTGTTTGCGATAGCATAAATACCTTAGAAATGGACGAGACCCGATTATTTTGGAGGTTGTGTTGTATTGTGTCGCAAAGCGCGCGATGTTGAAGTTCACCAGTCCACCAAGTCCGCTACTAGCTAGTAGACCGGCTCGAGACCGCTCGAGGCTAGATTGATTATATGCCAAGACTCTGAGACTAATCCGATTGGCTGCCTTAGGGCGAGGCTAGCCTTCAAGAATTTACCTACGAGTACCATTCATTACTACCTACTCTGCCTCCCCAACTTCGTGAGCCTCTCCAAATTCATGAAATCTCAACCACAACCACTCCTCATCCATCTCCCACCACGATTGCGACGATGGATTCTCCACGCGATCAGGTATTTGGAGATGCGCCATCTCAATTGAGCGAAACCGATGCGATTCCTAGAAGCGAACGAAAACGCAGAATATCGGATTCTAGTGATGGTGAGAAGAAGAAGCGGAGGCTTTCAGGCTCGGGGGACGTAGAAACAAGCGCCTTGCCTTTATTTCAGCAGCCAGTATTGCCGACCTTCAACCTTACGACTTCGAGTCGTCCCAAAACGAATTCGACTCCCGGAAAACCCTCACCAGCGAAGGATGACGATGAGAGTACAGGATGGCAGGTGGTAGAAAAGGGGAAAAGGCATCTTAAAAAGATCCCAAAGAAGAACTCGGGCAACTATCCCGAATTCGAATTCTCCAAGAGTTCCCGACTACAATCCCAGATCAAAATCAGCGACTTGCAAAGCTTGGTCTTGTATATATTGGCAGATGGAGGCGCACCGCTATTCGTGGCTGTGCGTCACCGACCACATATTCGGAAGATTGTTGTCTTAATGATTCCCGGGTTGGAGCATTCGATGTTCGAAAAGGAAGACGGAAAGAAGAAGTCCAAAAACCGGGACTTCTCTTCTCCAGACCACTACTACCCAAGCAAGCTCGTTGCAGAGGATCTGCCTCTAGAAGTTAGACCATTGGCAGATATTTTCAATCTTCTTTGGCCGGTCAAGACTCCAGGGGATGATAGAATGGGCAAAATGCACTCGCCTCTCCACGCGATGCTTACTGCTCCTCTACCAAAGGAAAAGGACGATAAAAGCAAGATTGTAAATAACAATAAGCAAAATAAAAAAGGAGCGCGACCGGCAAGGGTACCACCAGGATGGAAGAATGTCCGAACTCCCATCACAGCATATATTCATACTCGCGATGAGCTTCTTGAGAACGAGTATGTCGTTCATTCTGCAATGTATACTGTTGATGCCGAAAAGCAAGCATGGGCGCAAGTTCGTGCAGAAAAGGGAACTTCCCAAGCTCACGGCTGGGTCGATTCGTTAGTTTTGAATATGGATGAAGGAGATGTTCCGGAAAACGAAATCGAAGCAGGTAGTTTAACGGCCGGTCGAGAAATTCTTGCCATGGACTGTGAAATGTGTATGACTGGCGAGGGAGAGTTTGCTCTTACTCGTATAAGCATTGTTGGATGGGATGGATCTGTTATTATGGATGAACTTGTAAAGCCAGACAAGCCCATCATTAATTACTTGACTCAGTGGGTTCCCTCGATACTTTGAAGGAAACTTTGCTAATTGGAATCTAGGTACTCAGGCATGACAGCAGAACTGCTTGCCCCGGTAACTACAACTCTACAAGATATCCAGACGAGACTTTCCCGCATTTTGAACCCTGGCACTATCCTCCTTGGCCATTCTCTAAATTCGGACTTGAACGCTCTTAAGATGACCCATCCATTCATCATCGATACCGCACTTCTATATCCACATCCCCGCGGTCCACCGCTAAAATCCTCTTTGAAATGGCTAGCTCAACGCTTCCTCAATCGGGAGGTCCAAAAAGGTCATGGAGGAACAGGTCATGACTCCATCGAAGACGCAAAAACCTGTCTGGATCTCGTAAAGCAAAAATGCGAAAAGGGTCCAGAATGGGGAACCAGCGATGCAGCGGGAGAAAACATATTCAAGCGTGTTGCTCGAGCTGGCGTGCGATATAAGAATCAAGGAGGGGCTGCCGTTCCAAGTGCATTAAGCGGGAAGTCAAGCGCAGCAATCGACTGGGGCGATCCAAAAAAGGGGCCTGGCGCCACCGCCAACTTCCAAATCGGATGTCAGGACGACGAAGAAGTAACTCAGGGAGTCATCCGCGCCGTCAAGGGCGACGCAGATGGCAAAGAAATTCCCGGCGGCGGCGTAGATTTCATCTGGGCGCGCTTGCGCGAAATCGAGTCCTTGAAAGGATGGTGGAACGACAATCGCAACAACAAAAATGGGCAATCTACTATCCACACCAACGACGATGACCAAACTCCCCCTTCCTCTCCCATCCCTCCCTCAGACCCTCATACCACCTCCAACAAAGAAGCCACCGCCCGTCTCATGACCCGACTCACGCAGATCTACGAGGCTCTCCCCCCCTGCACGGCATTCGTCGTCTACAGCGGATCGGGCGATCCGCGGGAGATGAGTCGTCTCTCGAATATGCATGCTCGCTTTAAGCGGGAGTATAATACTAAGAAGTGGGATGAGTTGAGTGTTAAGTGGACGGATACGGAGGAGCAGGCTTTGAAACGGGAGGCGAAGAGGGCGAGGGAGGGGGGATTGGGGTTCTTGACTGTGAAATGAGAACAGTCTCAGAGAGAGAGGATCTGTGGTTGAGTTGTTACACTGCGTATCTGCGCTGTTTTTTGGGATGGAGTGCTGTGTGGTATGCATGATGGATAGTAGGTAGGCAGGTAGTAAGTGAGTGGGTTGACCCCATGGAGGGAATGAGGTAGGTAGACGGACATCTGTGGATATAGCTGCTTTGATGGTCATATGAAGGATGCTTGCTTGACGGCAGTAGTAAGTTGTCTTACATACATGCAAGATATGTAGTAGGGAAATCAGATACTATACCACCCAAATTCCATCACAAATCCCGCCAATTTTGGACTCTTTATCCTAGAGATTTATAGGAGGCATCTGATGAGTACTGTAAAAGATCGTTACGTATGTGGGTCTAGTGCATGAGATTGATTGCTATTTCGAGGTATGGTATACTAATTAGGTACCGAGGGTGATTGGTAGTATTCTTTCTCCTCTCTCTTTCTCCGATCCTGATCCTGTGATTTCTTTATCTAAGTAAGTAAGTAAGAAAGTAAGTGACAAGTATCACATCACATCACATCACATTCCTGTACTATACCCCCTTCCTCCCTTCTTCCCTTCTTCCCTCCTTCCCTTCTTCCCTCCTTCCCTTCTTCCCTTCTTCCCTTCTTCCCCTCTTCCCTTCTTCCCTTCTTCCCAGACGACCCCGTTATAATATCGTCAATGTCACTAAATTACTCAATCACTCAACTTAATTGCTCTTGTGATATTATAAAACGAAAATGAAGGTCTAGGAGAGGGAGGAAGGGAGGAAGGGAGGGAAGGGAAGGATTGAGTAGGTGAGAGGTATGAGTTGATTGATAAAAATGGTAGGTTAGAGGGATGCGTGGGATATGTGGGATATGTGTGGTAAGTGGAAGTTCAGAAATAAGGTAAGGTAGAGTACGCGCTACGAAGTATGTGTATGTACATGTGTATATGTATATGTATAGTAACTTATCGCGATTTTGGGAGTCTTAGAGGAATGTGAGATGATAAGAAGGTAAGAAGGCGAGGTATAAGGTAAGGATAGAAGGGTTAATGTATTAAAACTTAAAGAGCTAGAGAATGAGGTTAAGAATAACCGTAACGAGCGAAAGAGATCTAAAGGCTAGCTACGAAGTATTATTTATACTTAATAAAAGTCTACCTTATTCCCGATTAAATAACTCCTACCCTATATAATATAATATGTTATTAAGCGAAGTATCTCTACTACTAACCCCTCTTTACTAATCGACGTAAACCTTTATATAAGAACTTACTAAAAAAGAATTTATTAATTAAATGATAGAATAGCGCGAAGTATATTTTACTTATAATAAATACTTCTCCTATATTCTTTCTTATTCCTTATATCTTGAAAGTACGAGTAAACTTAAGGCATGTTTGGCTCGCCCAATTTAGAGATTTGCACCATACGAAAAGATTTGCATGCATATGTTTCTAAATAAGAATTGCATTTAATTTAAGATATGCACGCTTGTTTGGATAGCCGCAAAAGTTTTTACTAAAATAATTATAAATCCGTTACAAATCTATTTGTAAATCTTTTTAGATTTGCACTACTAAAAAGACTTTATAAAAGAACTGAAGCCTTAACCCTTTAGTTCTTTTTGATTTGTACAAATCTCTGTGCAAATCTTTTAATCCTACGTAAATTGACAAACATGTGACGAAACTAAGAAACTTTTGTATTAGCAAAACAGTACAGCTAAAGAGTGGTGCATTTGTTTCTAAAGAATAGTATAAATTGCATGTAAATCAGGAAACTTTTGCATGCGTCCTTGGGTCCTCTAGCCCGTGCAAAAGTCGGAGATTTGTACCCAATTTGCAGGAAGAGATATGCGTAGCCAAACATGCGCTTAAGAAAAGAAAATCTATAGAAAATCTCTCCTTAGCAAAGATTATAACTTCGACATATTCCAAGCTCGTGAGCTACACTTTTCAACCTCGCACAGGCGATATCTAAGGTACGTTAGCTAGATTCACCTCTAAAATAGGCCGAGTATAAACACGTTAACCATTGACGAGCTGAAATAGCGTGCTAAGAACAAGTATACCACTAAATACCACCACAGACCAATTCATAGTCGTTGCGTCAGGATGATTAGTACTAGATTAAAAAGAAAAGAAAATTCCAATGATGCTGTGAATAAGTGATATAATCATCGACGGGTCTCCAGTACGCCTCAAACGGAATAGAGTGTATTTCATAGCGTCCGCAGAAGTGGTGAAGCGCTTGTGAGGCAAAAGTCCTGCTGAAATCGAATATTCGGTGTGAAATCCCGTAAAGCTGAGGGATGTAAGAGCGTGAGATGTAGTAGTAAAGCCTATATTGATGAGCGTAAGCAATAGATTAATTTTTGTAGAGAGTCCAATGCAATAAATTAGTTGAGCAGATTTGTAGTCAACCTAAAAAAGAATTGTCATTATTTTCCATGAGAGTCGGCATTTCAAATTAAAAGATTGTCCTTAACCAAACTATTGTAACCAGGAAGACCTTTCTCTCAGGCGAATGCCCATGCCATGCGGGAGGTGGTTGCAAGAAATCTAATGGGTTGCGAATACCATTACTGCAATGATCAGAGAAGTCTAAAGGAAATCGGTTTGCTTGTAGTTATCTCACATCCTAAGCCTATGTTTACCATCGCCGTGGAACTTACATTTGAATTCGTCACATTTTTAAACACCTGGATGAAAGGGAATCCAGTAGACGTCGCTAAGATATCTTCACCGTCCCCCAGTGTCAGGGTATCACTAGGAGCGTACAAGGACTGTTCCAGAATAAGGTTGAGATTGATCGGGAGTCTTCTAAGAAGTCCTAGAGCTAGCTATTATTTATACACAACAAGAGTCCACGCTATTCCCTATCGGGAAGCTCCACGCTAGCCTCGAACAGGCAACTCAACCCCACTATTGCATTCACTAAGCGAAGCATCAAAACACCATACCGAGTCACATTCACCTACACAAGAACCCTCACACCCAGGCAAAATAAAGTTGCAATTACCTTTTTAAAGCTAAACGAACCGTATATAACCACAGAAACAACCATACTTTTTGGTAGAACGCTATGAGCTCCTTGAATATCCTCTTCTATATAATGTTTTTAGCAAACGAGATTTCTCGGTACTTGGGCATACCTTGCCCATATGTGTCGCAGCGTCAGTACCAAATACAAACATTGGCGCGGAAAGGCTAACTAGTAACTATAAAGGAAAGATTTTTAGCGCCCCATTCTTCACTATCGTTGAAGTTCTCAAACACATCAGCTTGACGACTACGCATGCAACCTTTGAAACTTATATTCTGGATAGTTCAGCACAAGCAGGCCTTGAGTCACGATACCACCCAAGCAGGCTGAGCAGGCGAGAGCTGATTGCCAGGATATAACAGTAATCCAGGCGGTTAAGTATCTGAGAAATTTTGAGCACCAGTATGGCGAAAGAATTGCAACCCTACACGCAGATTAGCCAGGTGTATGGGTGGTGCGATTTAAGAGCTGTACACCAACAGCATCCAACACAGCTCTCAACACAATTTCCAATATACTTTCCAACACACCTTCCATCACAGTACCCAGCACAACATCCAACATAATCTCAATACAACAAAATGACTTTCAAAGTCGAAGAATGCGATGATTCAGACATGCCCCACACATTCGAAATCATCAGCCAAGCATTCGCTCACGAACACCAATATATCGACGCAGCATTCCCAGCGCACAGCGAGCCAGCCAGCCGCGCAAACGGAGCATCACGTATGCTTAGCACGAAACACCAAGATCCATGCGCCAAATTCCTCAAAGTCATCGATCAAGATACCGGCACGATGATAGCACAAGCTAAATGGAATATCTACCAAAACACAATACCGCCTGAATTCGATCTCGATGGCGAATTCTGGGACGACGAGGAAGAGAAGGAGTATGCGCAGTTATTGTGTCGAGAGTATTTACTCCCGAGGCGTGAAGCGATTCGAGATTCTGGTGGAAACTTGATGCGTGAGAATGCCCTTTAGATTGTTTCTAGCGATTGTGAAAAGGTTGTCTAATCATGATATGGACGGGTTCAGCGCTTGAACTTCTAACGGTGGACCCGAAATTTCAACGCCGTGGCGCGGGACGTCTTTTGGTCCAATGGGGAACATCTTTGGCTGATGAACTTGGATTCGCCGCTGTGGTTGAAGCGACGGACTGTGGAGTGGGCTTGTATCAATCCGAGGGGCTTGAAGATCGCGGTCGGTGGCAGACGAGACTTCCGAAGAAATGGGAGAATTCTAGGGGAAAGCAGAGGTTCACCTGGATGGTTAGACCTGCTGGAAATAACTTTGGAAATTAGTATGGTTAGGATGGGGTTGGAATTCTAGCTATTGCGTAATATTTAGTTGACCATCAGCTCATTAGGGCTAGGAAATCTTGCTGGGTGGGCGATGGAAATAGAGTATAGAAATGATACTGTTAGGATATATTCGATCCCATTTTATTTACGTGACCTGATAAGACCCACCTGTTCAAGTACCATAAGTACTCGAACAACACCACTTCTTAGCACTTAGACAACAATTGACTGGATATTCCGTACCCTATTTCTTTACCTTGATATCCTAGATATACCTATACCAACAGATACTGTTGGACTAAGCCAAGTCACCTTTTACATGATATTAGCTTTACATTGACCATGTAAGGAGAACTGTGAACTTCTTCCACAAGTGATTTATAACTTCTTCTCCTTCCTGTCTTAGCCTATAACTTTAGAGATCCAAAACGAGACGAAGGAATGAAAACTCACATAGGCATCCCTGGGCAGTGTTTATTCACGTGGTGGTTCTCAAGTCTGGTCTTATACGGCGGGAAGAATTACTTAATTAACAATATCAATAAGTTATATAGTTCAGGATATCGGATTCTGTGCGCGAGAGATGTGGCGAGGTTAATACTTCACAATATAGTAAAGAACTAGAAGAAGAAGAAGAAGAAGAAGAAGTCATACGATGACGGAGGTGTAAAATGCTAGGCTAGGTAGAGAGGGGTACTGGCCAGGCTACAGTAGGAGTAAACTATATGTGATAAAATACTGTGGAGAGAGATATATTAGATTACCGGTCCGGTGGAAGATTCGATGTTCTGAAGCTTTGTTTCTTATTAATGTCTAGGAGGTGAGGGTTTATGAATTGAAGTCTAAAATTCCTTCGTTTTCCACTGTACCTTCCTCCCGATTGTAAAGAACTTCTACGAGTAGCTAATGGATATTATAAACATAACAAAAACGAACCCCTCATCCAATATCAAATTGCAAATCCAAAGTATGAGATATTCAATACAAGTAAGAATGTATAACTCTCCTCACACAAATAAATTCGAACCATGATCCTCTTCAAAGTCTCACATGCGTAGAGGTTCTCCCTTCTAGTATATCTCCTGCACCGCCCGGCTTATTTTTGACCAGGATTAAGCACCCTCGCGTAGAATTGTTTTAACGCATAATTCCAGGTCAATTCTGACACCTTGGCAATGCCAAGCTATCAATTGTAGTGATTTCAGGGAAGGAGATATATGGTCACAGGACTAGAATGTGACTATATAGTATTATTCTAATAAGATTTCTATTTAATTAGTGAAATATAAGTTCTTCTTCTTATATTATAAACAATCATATATATTGGGTTGAAAGGGTATTGGGTACTGGAGGTCATGGAGAATTGATTGCACTGTAAAAGGTAGCTATCTAAGGTGTTTATATAAAGAGTGTAAGGTTTAGGCAGACATGAAGCATTTAGGCAGCAGAACTATAAGTGGATCAAATAAGGAAGTGGAGCAAAATAGAAAGTAGACCCAGCACAACAATATACTATAGCTCAATTAGGATTAGGTAAAGAACTTAGCTTAAGCTGTTTGTATTAGAGGACGTCGTAACTCTTGGTACAAATCTATATGTTGTTTTTCTACCTAGGTTAGCACGTCCTTGACCCACTTTCCATTTACGCCGGGCGGTGCAGGAGATACAGTACAGGTATAAGCGCAAGTAGGATTACAAGGAAGTGTACATGTACTCTTCAGTTTCCTTCAGGTATATATGTAATGCATGATATATCGATAAGAAAAACTGCTTACGTACTCCGTGATACCGAAAAGGGGTCGGGTCTTGTGTCTAGGACAGAGAACTTCCCTTTTTCCTTCTCCTTTTCCATGCACCCTCCCCTTCCTCGCTTAGGTATCTCGGTTATAGAGAACGACCCATCTCGCTCCCGCTTACGTGTGAAACAGATAGGCTCAACATCTTCCATCTATTAAAACAGATCTCGGCTCCGGATCATCTAGTCTATCGCACTCCTTGCAAAGTTCTCATCTCTCCTTCTGGGGCTTCTTCGAATCTGGTGACCTCGAGTCATCGTATGGGTTTTGGACTCGTACAGTACCTCGTAAAATTTGCGGGGAGAAAGGGAGGTCGAATTGTATACTTGGATGGGCAATTGGCTCTTCTCGTTTTCCTGTAACGGAGTTTGGATATTGGAATGGCTGAGGTAGCGATGACTTTGCTGGAGGTAAGGTATGCTTCGGCGCAAGGACCTGCGGTGTACTGATACTTGTTGCGAGTTACCATGTTTAGATTTCGGTTCTCCCGGTACAAATTATCGCCATGATCTTGGATATCAAAATGCAAAGAAAGTGACTGAGACCCGTAATCACCGAATCCAAAGGCGGCACGAATTCCAATGGGCCAACTCATCCCAAAAAGCCCTATCACCTCAACAAAATCCTCACAATCTCCTCCCGATCCCCCGTCTTCGTCGCCTCCATCGGGACCGTCATAAACCCCGCATACCCCTCCCCCACAAGACTTTCAATAATCCCAATCTCCACATCCGCAACATTATCCACCCACCAAATCCCCCTGATCAACTTGATGAAAATCAGGTAATAGGCTAGTATCACAAGCGCTATGGGTCTTTTTTGGATCGCGCAGTCCACGAGTTCCTGTGGGAGATAGGATGGCCAGGTGAGGGTGCGGATGAAGAGATCGTCTGTCAGACCACTTTGTTGGAGGGAGGCGTAGAGGGCGCCGAGACATTCGACGGCGAAACAATAGGGTCGTAGGAGGGGGTAGTCTGGGGAGGTGGGTGGGATAGTGGAGAGGAGGTGCATGAGGGTTTTTGGGATTGAGGGGGGAATGTGGAGGGTTGTTAATGAACGTTTGAAAATTGGTGAGATGGCTGTGGTAAGGGCTTAGTATATTCTCGTCCTGAAGAAAGTAGAGAAAAGAAAAACAATCTGGAATTATATGGGGAGCTATAGGAGAAACTGTGGACATGAAATTGCTTACCAGTATTCACCAACTCATCCCAAGTTCTGAGTGTTATAACCGCCCCAATCCCCCGATACAAAACCAACCAATCAATACAAGTCAACTGCTCCCCGCATTTACTCCTATCCTTCGAACACAAAATCAACAATAGAAGCGCCGTCATACATGCAGCCTCCCAATCCAAACTCTGTCCATCGCTTCCCGATAATGCCTCTCGAAATCCATTCAAAGCCCGTACTCGATACCCAACTGTAGTCTTTGGATATTCTTCAGAAGCAGGATTCAGAACTTCTTGGTGGAGAGATGCGATTCCGAGGATGCAGTTTAGCAGATACTCGTTTTGGAAAGCGAGTTGTGGGACTGATAAGAGGAGGATACAGTTTTGGTCGTCGCCCACAGCGACTGTGTTCCAGGTTGATGTTAACCAGTGGTGCATGAGACGTAAATCTGTGCGTGAAAGTGATCCTACCGAAGTAGATATCGCTGGTTCGGGAGCCAGAATCATAGTCCCAGGTGCCATTAGTTCATCGAAAGTCTCTGTGTCCTGGGATTCTGGTGGTGTTGAGAAATCTATTATACTTGAGGAGCGTGAAGAGGAAGCGGGAGTAGGCGGGTTTGAGGGTTTGTTTATGTATACACATTTAAAATCTCTCTTCTCACAGAATCCACATTTTGGTTGGGTTTCATCGCACTTTATGAGTCAGTATGATATTAAAGCTGTAGACAAGGAAGACTTACCTTGACTTTCTTCGTTTTACATGTTTGGCAACCTCCTCTTGACTTCTTGTGGGGTCTTTTTGTCACAAACTCCCCTCCCATAGTGACAATGAAAACGATAATGATGATAAATGAAACTGGAAGTGAAAATGAAAATGAAAGAGAGAGAAATGTAATCTCAACAAGTCCCACAATATCTCCCAGGTTGTTATCCCACCCACAATAATGCCGTATCCGACCTTATCCTGAGTAGAACAAAGGGAAAATATGACTTGGTGATAGCATCATAGACGCAATAAATATATATCCAACTTTGACAGAAAGAAATGAAAATTAAGAAGGGTAAAGTTCTTACCTACGCAATGCTGACCCTAGGAGACTAGTGCATTATGCACGTCAGCGGCACATTTACGACTCCTGTACGCTTAACGTGACAGCTGAGCTCTCGGCCGGAAAAACCTTCGGACATCGCGTCTCCCAGGTTTAAGGGTTTAAGCACGCGCAGTACTCGGTAGATCTACAAACTGTAATCCAACTACAAACACAAATCGACTGAACACGCAATGGCTTCACTATTTTCCCTCCCGAACGAAGTCATACTCTCCACACTGAATACACAGTTCCCATGTCGAAACCATCAAATTCGGGCCTTAGCTACCCTTCTTGCAGTAAGACTTTTGCACTATTGTGAATGGACCACTAGCTAAATATTTACTTGTAGATTCGAGGGGCACCTAGTCGAAATATCGTCCTCCATGGCCTATACTCCACCGGAAAAACTGCAATTACAAAAGCGCTACTAGAGAAACTGTCTAACACTCACGCGCAAAATGGGGTTACCAACGGTGAATCTCATGATGAAGAAGATCAATTGCGATATGCGATAGTCAAGAGCGCAGAATGTATATCTGGAAGACATCTACTAGAACAAACCATCGGAGCTGTAGCTCAAGCAATAAGCTGGGACGGGGATATAGGACGATGCGAGAACCTGGCACAATTGCCTGTATCCATCGGAAGGATGATGGAGAAGTGGATAAAAGGAGAGGAACAACCTTCGAAAAGAAGATTGGTCCTGGTATTCGATGGCATTGATCAACAGAGAGAAACACCCGGGACACTCTTCCCCGCCCTTGGACGATTGGGAGAAATTGTAGGCTTATCCAAAACTACATTCAAATTATACGACTAACATCCTCAGATCCCCAACCTCACAATCCTCTACATAATAACCTCCCCACGCCCAAACTTCCTACACCTCCCCGGAGTCCCTCACATCCACTTCCCAACCTACACCAAACCCGAAATCCTATCTATCGTCTCCTCCCTGACGCCTACACCCTCCCTGCCCAGTGGAGAACCAGACACCCACGCCGTCTGGCAGAGATTCTGCCCCGCAGTCTATGACTCTCTCTCCAAGCACTCCGGCCGCGACATTCTCTCCTTCCGAACCATGTGTCTCACCCTCTGGCCCCAATTCATCGCGCCCATAATCGCAGGAACATACTACCCCACACCATTCAGCCGACTCCTCGTAGCAAACAAGGCGCTCTTCCAGAATAACTCAGTGTTGGTACCTAGCATCGTAGCTCCAAAGCCTCCATCCACAACCAAAACCTCCACAAATACAAACATCACCAAGGCGATGACAGGACCCAAACTCCCCGCCCTCGCAACCCAACTCCCCTTCCACACCCGCCTCCTCCTCCTCGCCGCCTACCTCGCCTCCTTCAACCCCCCACGCACCGACATCCTATACTTCATGAAATCCGCCACATCACGGCGTCGCAAACGCGGCGGCGGCACAGCCCTAACCAAAACCTCTGCGCCGAAAAACAGGAAGATATCCCGAAAACTGCTCGGTGCACAGGCATTCGTGTTAGAACGGATGTTAGCCATCTTCCGGTGTCTGAACGCCGATGCTGCGAGCCATAAACGGTATGCCCAGGGAAGAGGGGGTGAGAATAGGAGGGTTGGGAAGGATGGCAAATGGGAGAGCGAGGATCCTAGTGGGAGTGCGGATATATATACTGCTATTGCTACGCTGACTAGTCTACGTTTGTTGATTAGGATGGGGAGTGTGAGTACGGGGGATGTGTTGGAGGGAAGTGCTAAGTATAAAGTTGCTGTTGGGTGGGAGGTTGTTAGGGGGATTGGGAGGAGTGTCGGGGTGGAGATGGAGGATTATCTTGCTGAGTAGGTGGGAGTGTAATTCCCGGGTTAAGGGATACGACTTTGAGAGTAGGGGACATAGAGGTTGGATTTGGGGGAGTGAGGAGGGGAGGGGAGAGGAGTTGATAGGTTTTAGATACTGTATACTAAAGATAATCTCACTTTGAAAGTGTAGTAGGTAGCTAAATTAGGGGCTAGAGTCTAGATAAATTTATGGGAATACCATTTTTAATACAACGTTATTTATATAGGTAGCTACATCTCAAGCAATTACTGTAAAGACTTTCAGATGTAAACACATCCAACCACCTACCTACCTATACAACCTCCCTCCCTTCTCACCCCCCTCAAACCCCCAAACAAACAAAACAAAACCTAGCCAGTTCTCGAATACTATAGAACTCTTTTCCACAACCTACAAGGACTCGCACAATTACTACACGTAGAACTTTTATACACCAGGAAGATGTAATATACATAACATCAACAGAAGAAAAAAGAATAAAACATAAAAGGTAAATCGCTCATTCCATACGGTACATTGACATTAGTATTAGCATTAGAACTAGTATCACAATCCATGGCCCATCAACTAATTTTGTACACAGTAAGATCTTACTGTATACTGTATAGAAAGTTAGCTAGTTAGAAACTACCTGTGGTAATAGTCAAGGTAACGTGTTCTTTTATCTACAGTAATGAAGGAGAGTTTGTGATAGTACGCTGTCGATTATTCTATCTACTTAATCCTACACTGTAGACGCTCTTCCATTCCACCGACCAAGTGCTTAGCATACGTACCGTAAGTACCGGATGCTAAGTCGGCAATAAGGGTGTCAGGGAACGTTCAAGGATGCCTGAAAGGAATCAAGAAGTCGTGGGGTTAAGAACCATCAAGGATACACCATCAACGACCTCAACCCTACCGATGGAAAAGGATGAGGATATACATGCCACCTCTCCATCTCCACTCCCTCATCTTCCTCGCTTAAAAAGCAGCACCGCCCTCACCCTCCCCAGCCAACATCCTAACATGCCTCTCACTCAACTCACTCTTCAACCCCATCGCCGCACTCTCCCTACTCAACCTATCCCACCCCTGCAATCCCTTCCTCAACTTCTCCTGCTTAATCTGCAATTCCTCTCTCAACTGCTCTGCCTCTTCCTCTCTCTTCTTAAGTCGAACCGCAATCTCAGTTGGGATTCCAGACGCCGTAGGATCAATTCTACCGCCCGGGATAATGGGAGGGAGATTCGCCATAGCAGGATGAGGACGTGGTCCAGTTGATATATTTGGCTGTGTGGTACGCAAACCATAGACCGAGGTGCTGTGTTGAAGGGATGGACCGCGGGAAGGTACACCAGCTCGTGGACCCGTGGGAATTCCTGCTGATGGACCTGTAGGGATGGTCGCTGATGAGGGACCAGATGGGATGGAAGGAGATGGCGTTTGAGTAGGTCTGCTTATAGGGGTACTGCCACGGGTAGAGACTTCTGGAAGAGCACGACTTGGAGGTGCGGCGCCCCAAGAACCTGTATCTGTTCGGGCTGGTCTGTCATTGGCGAATGATCCCACTCTACCTCCTCTCATAAATCCACCTCCTCGACCAGATGGAACAAAACCACGAGGTCCGGATGGAGGAATAAGTGGACTAGTGTTTTCTGGTCTATTGTGTGCTGACATTGACATATTTGAGCTTGGCGAATGGATGGGGGCTGTGAAGCTTCGTCCACCACTTGGTCCAGTTGGTGCTCTAAAACCTGCAGGTCCACGTGGAGGCGATCTTGCAACAGCCCGCGGAGGAGAGCGGTCACGGGGAGCTGGCCTAGGAGCTTCTCGATTCCTAAAACTTAATTCAGTTGGTGGTGAACGAGCCCAGGCCGGTGAACGAGGAGCATTCCTATTCTGGTCTGTATACGGGATTGTATTTGGAGGAGAGCGGGCACGTGGAGGCGAACGAGCTCGCTGGATGGGAGGTGATCTAGCACGTTGAGGTAGAGGAGATCGGGCACGTGGAGGGGAGCGAGCTCTTGCATCACGAGCTGCACCCTGCGTTAAAGGAATACGATCGGGACGCATATGAGGCGAGGACCGTCTTGAAGTGCTGGTGGATGTTCTTCCAGATGATCGTTCCGAATCTCTATTCATAGGTGATGGCGAACGACGTCTCCATGTAGAAGCAGCACTTGGGCCGGTAGGAACACGACGGTCATCGCGACGGTCATCACGTCGACCAGGACTCCTGGAGCGAGGTCGATAACCTCCTCGAGGACCAGCCGGTGGTGATCTTCGAGGCAATGGAGATCTGTTGCGAGGTGGTCCTCGGTTTCGGTCATATGGTGATCTTGAACGTCTTCTATGAAGTTTGTCAGTGGTTCAGTATGGAATATTATAATTAAGAGATGTATATATGCCTTTCATCCCTATCATCCCGCCTGGGTGGTGATCTTGCTCGGCGGTCATCATCTCGTCTTGGAGAGAATCTTCTTGGGGGACTTCTTGCACGTGGAGGGGACCTTGCTCTTGCTCGCCAATTGTCTCTGGGTGGTGAACGGTCACGGCGAGGAGGCGTCCTGGATCTTCGTCTTGGAGAACGATCCCGACTTCCGGGATGCCAACTGTCACTTGCTGGAGGTGTTCGTGCTCTATCACGACCTGTCCGGTATGTGTCTGCTCTTGGAGGGGGAGAACGAGCTCTGGGAGGGGAACGTGGTCTGTCTGAGGGTCTTGCTGAAGGTCGATATGACTCTCCGCCACCCATTTTTGTAACTTCTCCATCACCTCTGTTGCAGATGATTAGTATCATTTCAGCGTATTCCAAAATTGGCACACATGAATGTCATTGACCGTTTCAAGGCGCAATTAGACAGACACGTCTTGAACCGGTAGAGGGGGTCCAAAGGCTCTTCTCTATAGGGCTACGAATTGCTTGATATCCACTGAGACATGCTTGAGTCCATAGTGACATTTTCCAGGTCGACTAACCCCCGAGGAACGATCATATAGCGGCCCCACCAATGTAACAGGAAATGCGCAGGAGATGAAAAACTTTAGTCCATGCCTCGCTAGCCTCCGCTCAGTGATTCCACGATGGTTGACGAGGTAGAGCTCAGAACAGGAATGAGGCTCTGAATTGGAAGGTGTAGGTCCCGGACTCTAATGGTGCTATCTTTCAAGAAGAAGAGGCGATGCGGAAGGAGTGAGGATTGTCCAGGTAAGGGGGTTTGATCGTGCTGACTGCAATCAAAGGAGATTCGTCGTTGGAGGCGAGTCAACTAGCATGAGATTGACAGATTTGAATCATGAGAATTGAATGACTTATACTCCCAATTTGCTGACAGCTCGTGTGCGTCCGTTGCCCCATCCAAGAATGCGGCCGCAGAATATCGAGGTCATTCATATTCCTTGATGCAAGTTCATTCAAACCACAACTTGACTTTACGATCTTTCCACTAACACTGTCCACCATGGATGCACAGAAGGGCGCGTAGAGAATATGAATAGCAGCGAGGTGCTTCTTTCGGTTGGTGAACTCCTCTTCTCGTTGCTTCCCTTTTGCGAGACTATGTTCGCTGGCTTGTCTTTCGCGGTAATCGGTTAGGCGCGTTAGTGTATGCGGCTTTCGTCGAGGTTGCGAAATCTGCCGACTGGAGTTCGTATCATCTGAATCATAGATACAGATGCGACTGCTAGATTTCGGTTTGCTGTTCGCCATCCATTTCTTTGGTCCCTTCACTGTCTTCCTCTCCCATAGTAATCCATCCCACTGCACTCCACCCCGCCCCTTCCATACACAATGCCAATGCCAATGCCACTCAATGAGGGCGCAAACAAGCGCAATAGAGAAGATCGATAGGAACTAGACGTAAAGAGATGCGGGGAAAAGGGAACAAACAAGCAACGAAGAAAATGGAGAGCAGACTAACCTTCGGTCAACACCACGGCCTCGATCCATCTTGTACAATGTAACGCAGAACGCAGAACGCAGCCCTTGGCCTCCCTTTCAAATAAAGAGGGTGGGCGATGTGATGGTGTAGCTTGTTGCAGTAGCGTAGGCAATGCGCTTGTAGTACAGATGGTATTTTCGCACGAAGGGATAAGGACAGCAGAGTTGAGGGGTTGTGATTTGGTGCCGTATGTGTCTCTCACGTACTCGTAGCCTCGCCCGATATATGTTTGCTACCCCTGTACCTACGAGTAAGGGTCCACGCGTAGCTTCAGGTGAGCAGGTGAGCCCCCCTGGCTCCCGAGCCGGAACAGACTAGGAGCAAGCTCCGGGTCGGTCGGGGTGAGATCGGACTCGGATCAAACGATTCCGACCCCGATAGGAGTCCCTCCAAAGTCTTCCTCTTCAACAGCTGAGTACAGAACAACACCTTCAACACATTCCAACATCTCGATCTCCAACTCACTTCGCGCTTGAACTTGCTTCGGGCTTTCGCTGGTCATTATTCTAAACATCAATCATAATTCTTGTTTCTCAGCTGACTCTGAACATCGCAATCACCACATCTTTCCTCGTCTGGTGCTTAGATTTGTCCATCTCAGCAGTCCTCGCGTTGTGCGTGGCTGTCTTGTGTAGCAAAGTATTGCCTCGAGATTTCACGATCAGCAACACCGGAACTCCTCCAACAGGAAAAGCAAAACACTAGTATCCCGAGTGGCCAAGTTTATCATCTATGAACCTCGGTTTCCTTTCTTGTGATGCACAAAAAGGTGTATCATTACCCCATCTCAATTTCCTCGTCCAAGCTCATTGCATTACAAGTACGCTTGTAGCCAATATCTTTATGAGGTAGCAGCCAAGAGGTTCACTTTGTCAATGTGGTAATCTTATGAGTGTTTCTTTTGCGATGTACCAAAGTTTGGTATCAATCACTCGAGACTGTAGAGTTGCTCCAATATTTTCTTTCTGCGAGTACAATATTGTGTTTTTAATATCGCTTGGACCTTCTATTTCACAGCATACTTTTCTTACGACTATCTTCTCGAGTTTCATCTGATATTGCAGTCTGATTAGGGTGTGTTGGACTGGTATCATGTGCACCTAATTCAAATACCTACAATTATTGCACCATACTACAGTAGTACCAACTTTCTGTGACGAGTGTCACACGGGTGTTACGGTCCCACCCAACCTGGCGGAAACAATACGAATTATTATTTGAAGATGAATCAAATCTCGGAAAGTACAGAATGTACTATTGGCAGCAGTTGCAATCCTCGGGACGTGTTGTAGAGGCAGTGGCTTCTATACCTCCACAAGAAGATATATAACATAACTCCCTCTCCATAAAATCAAAACAATACATCACATCATCACTTCAAACTCAGTATCTTCCCTAGACTTTACATTGCCAAAATCTCAATATCATGGCTACGAAAATCGTCAATTTGGCTACCACGGGTTCTACTACTTCAAAAAGCTCGGATTGGGCAGCCCACGTCGATGCACATGCTCAAGCCGCCAACCAAACCATCGCCGGACCTCTAGCAACATTCTATACCGATGCAGGCGGTCACTCCCCAGAATCCGAAAAGGCCAATGAACAACTCAAAAACATCAGCCTCTTCGCCGCCTTCTCCGGCTTGCAAAACTACAAACACATCTCCGACTTAATCGAAGGACTTAGATGGCACACCGGCGGCGTAGCTGTGGTCCAAGAAGATTGGACAAAGACCTTCAGCTACAGTGACACCTTCAAAGAAGGACTCCAGAAAATCATTACGGATACTACGCAGAGCGCCATCGCCGTGATTGACAAGCTGCCAGAGAAGTGGAAGCATGCTGCTGCTGAGCTTTATAAGGCGTCCTTGGACATCCTTGCCGACTTCCTTCATAAGACTTATGCCCCGCTTAAGAATATCCGACGTGCGCAGGCGGATATCAAAGCTGGGAAGTGGGGAATTATTGAGAAGGGGAAGGATGCCATAGATGTTTTGTACAAGGAGGCTGTGGAGAAGCTTGAGGATTTGCATTCTCATGAATAGATCCTATCCTACTGGATCGGAATATGTGAGAGACAGAGTCTAGCTGCGCGGGAGGATTAATTGGTTGCGTGGGGATGTACCGCAAGGACGGGAATTTTTCAACTGGAAGGGTTTCTTTGGGTTGCATTCTCTGATTAATTCTACTTCAATAAAATGGTAATTCTTCCAATCGCCTGTCGTTTCCATTGATCCTTGCCGATTCGCCGCTTCGCATTGTACATTTTCGTTTCATCGATCAAGCTTTCGATATTTTGTGATGGATTACAGTAGACCGTTAACTACTCAAAATATACTAAGCACGTTCACTCTGCCGAACCCTATTTTGCTGGCATCTTGCAGTACACGGTTTACAGTACCAATCTTACTGTACATAAATTCAATCTCACCCTTCTCCTTGGTCCGCTCGTCTCAATCCATTCTCTCCCACATCTATTCTACTTAAAACACCCTCCATAGCTTACGTCCGTCGTCGTCTCGTCGGACTTGCAACGGATATAACACGGCCGGTCACCTGCGCTTGAAAGCATACGGAAACGGAAACCGGATCTTGGCATATATTTGAATATTTTTCTTTTTTCTTTTGGGAGTCAAGGTAAGGTAGAGAGGGATGATATCTTGGATTTAGGTTTGCGATATAGGGGTTTTGATTGGGATATATACGCGTCTTGATAAGACGGTTGTGCTAAACTCATTCAAGGCGAGGGAGACCATAGTAATAACCATCATCTCACCCTCCCCTCCCCTCCACATTTCAGTCTAAACCACCCCCAACATCCAAAACCAAAACCAAGTCCAACAAAAAGAAAACCACAAGACCTCAAATAAATAAATAAAAAATGAACCTCCTCCTCACCGGCGCCTCAGGAACAATCGGCTCCACAATCCTCACCCAAACCCTCTCCAACCCCCACATCACATCCCTAATCCTCCTCGTGCGTCGTCCCCTCACCAACCTCGCTCTCTCCACACATCAAGAATCCGGTCGGAAGCCAGAAGTAAAGATTATCATCATGGAGGGCTTTAATATTTACCCTGATGAGGTGGTAGATGAGATTGCGGGGTGTGAGGCGTGTATTTGGTGAGTAGCAGTGAGAGAGAGAGAGAGAGAGAGGGAAAGCGGGAAAGTGGTGGGAGAGGCTGATGAGATGTAGGGCTATGGGAACGTATACTGGGGATTCCGTGGTGGAAGTGGAGTACCCTACTGCGTTTGCGGATGCTTTTCTTCGGCGCCAGAGAGAGGGGAGAAAGGGAAAGGGAAACGGGGGTTTAGAGAGGAAAGAAAAGTTTCGGTTTGTGTTTTTGAGGGGTGCGTATACAGTTGAAGATCAAGATAGGAGTTTGTGGTTCATGCCATCGGCTAGGAGGGGGAATGTAAGTCTTAGACTCTCGTGCTTTTTTTCCCTATCCCTGCCTACTCGTTTTTTCCTCTTTCATCCACTTTTTCTCCATACTACAAAGAAAAAACAGACTCCTAAATTTAACTCTCACGAGACCTTCTTAATACATCGCTAACAACTCACCCCGCACCCAGGGCCTAGGCGAAAAAACCCTCCGTCTCTACGCCCAAGAAAACGCCTGTGAAGACATCTGGCAAACCTACATCATGAAACCGGGGGGGATACTACCGTCTTCCATCCTGCCCTCCATGGGGTTTATCTTGAGACCGGTTATGGATGTTGTGGGGGCTATTAGTAAGTCTTGCGTTATCTTTTTCTTTAGGATATCCTTCCTCTTTGTTGTTTTTTTTGAGGGGGGGGGGTTGATGGGATGGGGAGTATTTGGTCTGGGTTATGAGATAGGTATAGGGCTAATAAGCATAGGAAGTAACGAAGTCGCAGCATGTATCGTGGATATCGCTGTCCATGGATCAGAAGATGGGAAGTTCGTTTGGCAGAATGGGGATATGGTTTTGAGGGGGAGGGCTGTTTTAGGAGAGTGATATGTCGGGTAAATGTAGCTATCCTTTTTTTTTTTGGTATCTTTAGGAAGGGTTGTAGGGTAGGTAAACTTAGTAGACATCAAAACGGCAAGCATTCTTCACCTATAGTACAGTACAGTATATTAGACTCCCTCTCGCAAGGAGATTCAACTTTCCTGGCGCCTTGGTTCGTGTCGTGTCGTATGATAATTTCGATATTGTATTTTCGAGGTCCGGCGACGAAGTCAAGTCAAGACTAGACGAGACGAGAAAGAAGAGAGACAAGAGAAAAGAGAAAACAAGCGATAGAGTGAAAAATACCAACGCCAGATCCCCACCCAAGAAAAGTCCCTCCTTAACCGAAGACCATAAAACAGATAGATTCCTTGAATCCTCTCTCCTGTCATCTTCCCGAATCCCAAATTAGAGTAGTGGGATATCTCATGGACCACCCACTTTCTCTTTTGATATCATATAAGTTCCCCTCTTAATAGGCGCTAATACTGGTAGAAAATATATAGCCCTTACCTACCTACCTACCCTTTTATCTCCAAGTCCGGTGTCTAACTTCTCTATCTTTGTAGTTTGTTCGTTTATTTTATAGAAGGGCTCAGAAGGAGGTATTTTTGTTTAATAGTTTGGTGTAAACTTTATAGGAATGTTTTATTCATTGATTTCTGCCTATCCCATGGGCGTGTTATGACTAGTTCTAGTTACCTAGCTAGGTAAGGTATTCGATACCGTGTTTCTATTCCACCCTACTTCCTCTAATCTCCCGTCATGATACCCATCCTCCACTAATGAACCCCCCAATTCACTACCCACTAATTCCCGATCAAGAACCTAATCCCATCCCAATCACATCCCCCAACCCTATGCATCCCATCCCATAAAACCCAACCCACCCACCACCTAACCCTTAAGATTAAACCAAACCATCTTACAAACCTCCGCCTTATGTCTCACCACCCGTCTCGGATCATTCAACGCACCATCCACCTCGCCCACAACCCGGAACTTTCTCACCTCAAGCTTCCCCGCATCAACATGGCTAACAAGCAACGTGAGGACTTCCAATGCCATGGCTCTACCCTTGACGCTTGCTCCTACGGTGTTGCCAACCTCGTTAGTGGCGCCTTCAGTCTCAGCAGCACTAGCACTAGCACCAGTTCCAGTTCCACTTGCAGTTCCACCAGAAACCTTCAGTCGATCCGTCATTCTCGAAATGACAGAGTCAAGATACTCCTCAATAACCCCAGTAGCTAGCGGAACAAGCGTAAACACAAGCTGAATAAACGTCTCCTGAGTCCACTCAGCATGTCCACAATTCGTGCCCTCCAGAATAGCTGGGAAAAGCATCTCCACATTATCCACCAACATGGCCGGATCGAGGAAAGCCAGAATTCCGGCCAGAGCAACGAGGTAATTACCCTTGATATCCTGATCTTCAGTTGATCGCCAGAGGTCAATGAGTTCCTTCGCCGCGTGGTTGAATAGGAGACCTTGACGAAGTGGACGGATGGTGCAGAAATTCTTCTTGGTGAGGATGGGTGAGGGGGCGAGGAGGATACGGAAAGATTGGGCGATTTTGAGACTGTGGCCTGGGATGGCGATGCCTTCTATCATTTGGGTGAGGAACTGTTTTGCTTCGCTACCGCTAGATTTATAGGCGGCTAATGACGCAGCTGTGTAATAACTTAGTGTACGGTAGACATTGTCGATCTGTATCGGTGTGCCAGATTGGGCTTTCTGCACGATGGACAACATCCAATCGCCAACTGTAGGATAACCATGATCCAAAGCAGAACGCGAGCCAGCGTGGTACTTGTTTACCAAAAGTTGCATGTTGTAGAGGAATGAGATGCGGGCGAGCTCCGAAGCCTCCACTGTGGTGCTCATGGATGCTTCGATCATTGTGATAGTATTTTTCACCACACCGATGGAATTCCAGATGTGCTAAGCCAGGGTTACTACGAATCGGATCAGGAGTTGGAGATGTACTTACAGGTTCGTCTTTGGGGTTGATCCCGGCTACCAGAGACGCAACCAAGAACATAAGGAGACTTCGATCTTGAGGCCAACCTTCGAAATCCCTGGCATTGTCAGGATTGACCTTACTGTAGTCTTCCTCACTTCGAAACAATGTGACAAGACCATGCGGGACACCTTCAGGTTTATTCTTGTCGTAGGAAACGAGAATATTGTCCAATTTCTTGTCGATCTCTACACCCTCTTCATCAACAACAATTTGATGATATTCGGTAAGCATGGCGATTGTTAACATTTGTCCCAGTAAACTGATAGTAAGGTCGTTCCAGGGTTGTGTAGGATCTACAGAGTTTTGCAATCCAAGATATGCAGAACCGGGTTCTCCTACTACGCCAACCACGCGGTCAAGGAGTGGGACGACGATGCTTGAGTATGGGCCATTGATTCTGTCTTCCAGAGGCAGAATGAATGCATCGCGACGACCTGCGGGTAATACACTTTCATAAAGAGATAAGGCTCTGTGTGATGCTGCAATAATAACATTTAGATACTGCAGTTGTCCCTTGTGTTGACGCACTGCATCAAACTTAGCCAACAGAGATTCGTGAAAGTTGATGTGATTGAGAGAATTGCTGCAAGCAATCTGTACTAGATTCTCCAGGATATCCGTCGCTCTTTCTAGAACATCAGAACCACCTGCGATGTCAATCTCATCAGGTAGTTCGTTCAAAAAGCTTGGTAGGGTGGATTGTAAAAAGCCAGATGTATCGAACGAAACAATTTCTTGGATCGATTTCAGAGCGGCTTGCTGTAAATCTACCGAAGAAGTCTTTGCCAAAGCGACTTCATTCAGAGTTTCCAGAATAATTTCTGCGGAATCTCCCAATAGACCTACTATCTTTCGGAGGTATACGAACCCTTGAGCTACGGAACCAGCCATGGAAGAGTCTTCGCTCAGGCCAGCCTTTAGCTCCGATATAGCGCCAAAGTATAGATCTCTGATTGCTTCGCTAAAAGCTTTCATATCCTTGATCAACACACCTTCTTGGTTGTATCGCTCTTGTGGAGAAATAATGAAAGCTGTAGGATCCATGTGATATCGATCTTCATACGTGTCCGTACCTGCTGCGATATCAACCCGTGCTTTAAGAATAGAATTGAATACTCCAATGATTGACTCCTTTGAAACCTTAGACTGCTCGTCTTGAGCCATGATGCATAATCCCGGAAAGACACCTTTCATCACAAGATGTAGAGATAACGGCGATGAAGAAGCAATGGCATTGAACATACGCTCACTACCAGAAATGTATCTCTTCATATCTGATAATCGCTCAAAGATCTCCGCAACAACCGAATCGATGAAGGAGGAAACCTCGCTTTTCTCATTCCAATTCCAGTCAGCATTTGTTAATTGTGCCGCCAGTGAATGAATGATATCAAGTGAGTCCTCAATAAACTCTTCGTTTTCTCCGTTCCAAATTTCAAACTTAAGGCTATCCCAAATCTTAGATGCCCATTCAGTTAAAGTGTGGATAGGGAATGCCTTGACACAAGATTTAGTGGCGAGCAGGAGTTGCTTCTATCTGGAGGTTAGTCAAAAACAACAAATCATACTTAGAACCTCGTACCTTTGTATTGGCAGATTGATCAATATCGAGCTCTCCCAAGAATTTTTCAAATGCCTCTTTGGCATAGAAATCATTTGCTGTAAAGCATCTAGTCAATAATTCTCTCAGCTCATCCGGTGTAGGTTGGTCGTTTGGAGTTACAGTCAGGGTTATCGGAAAGTATCGCATAAAAGAATTCCAAAGCTGCTTGTAATCCTCTGAGCCCAAAGTCCAACCAGAACCGACAGCAACGTATAATGAGAAAACGTCCTTCAAACAAATAGCTGACTTTTCTCGCGCTCCCAATTCGACCAGACCAGTTACAAATTCCGAAGCTCCCATATCTCGCTCAAGGTGTTGCTGGTATTTTGTGTTTAGGTAATCGATGATTACGTAGTACTTTCGTCGAGTGGAAGGAGTCTGGTTCATAAAGGTATTTGAGTCCCCTTGGCAAAGCTTATAAATGGCTTTGGCCAGGGGTGCAGCTTCACCAGGAACAAATCTCTTCCAGGTTACGACTTGAAGAAGAGAATCGGCGACCTCGTTCAGTCCATATTTGTAATTGAGGACCTCATTATTATTCTCCAGACGAGCCCGAAGGTATTCACAAATCAATTGGGCTGGAGTCGATTAGTCTAGCGCTTGTGGATATAAGTTGGGTGCTTACTGTCTTGACGTGAAACCGAGTTGGAATCCATCGATGCCAGCATCATCGCGAAAAGAGACATCCCTAAGGATATCAGGTATTTGATATTTCAAAATAGGCGAAATAGATTACATACCTCTACTAACCATAAGAAGATCGATTTGTTCTTCCCCGACGTATGGCTCCAAATCCTGTGTAAATTCAAGCAATGTCATGGATCCAAGGTCAAAGGCTGTGGTGTCAATAGGTGCTGTTGGTGACCCTGAATTATTGTTCTTACATCCAGAAATATCGTCCACGGCAGCTCTCTCCTCCAAAGCTTGACCCTCCTTAAGAAAAAGGGCCTCCATCCAGTCTCTAACTCCCATTTCCGCCATTATGAGTCTTTGGTAAAAGAATGTTAGCTAGATTTGTCAAAGACAACATAAGAATCGACGTCAACAGAAGAGCTGAGAAAATAACGGCAATTAAACTCGCGAGTGGAAGAATTGCTTAAGTTTGGTACCCTTTGGCAATATGTGTAACGTCCGGAGATTGTTTCAATTCCAGAGTGTGGAGATGTACGCATTGCATTGCCACATGCCACAGGAAACCCTTGCTGGAAATAGAAGGAGAAAAGAAGCAAATGGAAGGATAAGGTAGTACCAAAGAAAAAGTTGACTTGGGTTTTGGGATAGAGTGAGGAACAAGTAGCCGAACACAAACTCGGTCAAATTAGCCGACCAACTCAGAAGAGTTGGAGTTAACAAAAGAGAGTGAGGAGTAGCTTCTTGCAGACTGAATGCAATAGCAAAGTCAAAATAGAAGTGTGGTAAAAAGAAAGCCCAGGAATTTGGTATCAAGAAAAAAGAGATTCGCTTAACGAAAGAGCTTCATCGTGGAGGAACTTACAACTGCTATGGTGGCGACAGGGAACTAAGACCAGGGCAGATGCTGGCAAATCAACCAGATAATCGTATTAGATGTGCAAATAAAGAATAAATAATAGGCGCGCACAAGAATTCGCTTTTAGATCGTGAAGCTCTGGCGTCTTTACGACAAGAAGGTAGATGGAGGTCGTGAACCGATGGTGAAGCTGAGAAACCGACCCAAGCAGAAACAAGGTAAAGAACTGATGAAAAGTTGGCGCAGTTAGTATATTGCAATGAAAAGAATTGCTAGTGGTTGGAAGACTCACAGATGTCCCACGATGCCAGATTGTGATAATTTTGATGTTGTTGATTGTAGGGGAAGTATATTTCTTGGAGGGGGGGTTTTGAATGAAGATGGTGAAATCTCATGGGAGCTTGACCCAAACAGGCTTAGTGCGGGGCGCCCCTGTTTTTGACAGCGGCTAGGACCCATAATTATCAGAATTAGCGAGGAACATAGCCGATGGGCCTTTGAGTGAGTACCTGTGAATTTAATTTGTTAGCGAGATAAAATCTATGAAAGAATTTATTTTAAAGTATAAAATTAGTTTTTGTGAATAGTGACAGTTTTTTGTATAATAACATCACAGGGGAATATGCACTTACAGAGCATTTTCTGGTTTTCTGTGGAGGGGCAGCACACATGCAGGTGCAAGCATGACCCCTCTCCTTATCGGATCCGATAAGGGGTGGATAAGGAGCAAGGATGCCTGCCAGTGGTGACAGATATAGAATTTTTGCAATCACAACCGGGAAACCTCCAGATACCACCTCCACCTGCACCTGCTTCCACTACATACTCTTTCTTATAAGAGCATCGCCCCTGCCCCCTTTGCTCACGATGGCCTCTCAAGCTCCTGCCACACCTGGCACACCCTCCTTCAGTCATTGCAAAGTCGTCCTCGCTGGATCCATTGCAAAATCCATTCTGGCAGATGTCGGAGAGGGATTGGCCAAGCTACCAATCAAGCCCAAATTGGTCGGATTTCTAGCTAACGAGGATCCGGCGGCGCAAATGTACGCGGACTGGACTGGAAAGACTTGCCGAGAGAAGTAAGTCACTTGATTTCTGTTTCTTCTTCCCGCAATGGAATGGCAGTTGGAGTTGCAATCTGCTATTGCAAACGGTATTTGAGACTGCGGGGAAGCTTTGACCGCGGCGCGTGGGCCATCCACCTCAAAAACACTTCAACGTTACATCAACAGACGCGCGATCGAGGCGGAGAAACCAGAATACCAGAATGGCCATGAGTGGGAGGTTGTTGGGTTTCTTTCTCAAAAGTTACGGAATCTCCTACGAACTGCAAACGCCGTCCCTACGCCCTTAGCCGAAGCTCGAAGACCTTCCACAACGGCGACAGATATGGGATGGATACACAAAACGTTGAGAGATGCAGATATTCTGAGGGTTCCGAAGAGTAGAGTATGTTGGGATGTCTCACGACTGGCTATTTCGGCACTTCGCTGCCTCTTCTGTCAATCAGACTAGCTGAGGTTGGACAGCACCTCGTCAACGAGCCAGGCAAGAAGGACAAGATAAGCTCGATGAAACCATACATTATGGATGGAGAGTGGTCTCGAAGACCAGTTCGTACAATCTTCAACGAATTGGTTGTTGAAGACCCTAGTTTTCAAAATCTTTCAATCCTTTCAGAGCTAAATCCCGCATTTCAAGTCGAACGCCAAGTCTTTGAGTATTGAGCGGTGAATCCAGAACTGACTTGATATCTCACAGTGGATTTGATTTCGACCTCCGTGTTATCACAAAAGAAGATATCGAGGCAGCAATTGTAGAAGCCAACAATGACGACTCTGTCCACGGAATCATGGTGTATTACCCTATCTTCTCTATCACCTCTCGCCAAGATGCCTACATCAAAGAACTTGTGGATTCCTCAAAGGACGTCGAGGGTCTCACTCATAAATACGTGTTCAACTTATACCAGAACAACCGTTTCCTTGATCCACCTACCAACCAATTGAAATCAACCCTTCCTTGCACACCACTGGCAATCCTCAAAATCCTCGAATACCTGCGGGTATACAACTCCATCCTCCCATACGGCAACAGACTCTTTGGAAAGGGAATCACAGTCATTAACCGAAGTGAGGTTGTTGGTCGTCCTCTCGCCGCTCTGTTGGCCAATGATGGCGCAAAAGTTTACAGTGTTGACCTCGATGGTATCCAACTGTTCACTCGTGGAAAGGGAATCAGAAAGAAGCACCATGAAGTCCAAGATCTCCCAGCCGATTTTGAACTTAAAGACGCACTCGCCAAATCCGACGTTGTCATCTCCGGTGTCCCGAGCGACAAATACAAAGTCGACGCATCACTTATCCGTGGTGGTGCTGTCTGCATCAACTTCAGCAGTGAGAAGAACTTTGATGGTCCTGCAGTCAAGGAGAAGGCTAGTATCTACGTTCCCGCCATTGGAAAGGTTACCATTGCTGTTCTCCTCCGCAATCTTCTACGCTTGGTTCAAAATCAGAATGCCTTGAAGGCTGCGGCTGTGACTGCTGCAACAGCTACTCCAGCTGCTACCACTGCTCCAGCAGGGGAAGCTTGAAATGGTCTAAGGAGGATCGATGATGAAAGAAGCGTTTATCTAAGAAGCATAAATTGGTGCTGTGACCGCTTGGATGATAGACGGAAGAAAGAAAAAACACCCCAACCCACCAAATAAATACCCGGCTGTATGTAAATAAGTGACGCGTCGCGCTGGAAAGGGAAAATGAGATGTTCACTTTTACTTTTTTGTTTCTGGTAGCCACCAAGAAATTCAAATGGAATTCTACGTCATGGGATGATTATCCTTCTTTTTCTATCTCTCTCTCTCTCTTCTTTTTGGTGAAGATACCTATCAATGTGACGATCGTCTTTCTATTGGCCTACCTATTGCATACAATGCAGTGTAAAACCACTCTTCTCTTCACGTCCACGGGCGAACATTTGGCAATACTGTAAGAGTGAAACAGAATAGAGTAGTTAGTCGACGATTCGACGGTTTCGTCAATGTTGGAAGCTGACGGTTTATACGGGAGCTGGGAATGGGGAGATAGATCTGGGAATTCCTTGAAATGGGAACGGGGGTAGTGTGTTGTTATTTGCCCTGGTGATGCTGGGGTTATTTTTGGGGGAAAGGGGGGTTTGGGAGGAAGTGAGGTGGGTGAAGAGGAAGGGGAAGGGGAAAGGGATATGAGTTGTAGTTATGGTATGTATGGTAGGTTTACTTGTACCATTGTTCTTGTTCTCATTTTTGGGTTTGGTTTCCCTCAGCTCGCCTACTGTATCTGGGTACCTCCTGTCGTGGTGGTTCTTTTCAACTTTTCGCGATAAACTAGGCTGTATGGCTGCTTTTCTTTTCCTTTTTGAGAGAGAAAGCAGTGTTTGGAGCTGGAGTTGTAGGGACGGGGGAGATGTTGGTTTGAGGAATTAGTAATAGATTTGAGAGGTTTGTTTATGGTGTAAGGTGGGTGAGTGTAAGGAGCTGGATTTGAGGGTTATTGCATACAGCACCTCAGAATACTGAATACCAGAGATCAATCGAAATAGGAAAGTCTATAAAGCACCTTCTTGTTACGAAGGGATACAGTAACGATTATCGCAAAGACGGACGCCTGGTATGCAATGTCTTATTATACGATACTATATCCTTCCCTCCCAAGCATTTTTCACCCGAGACTTGCTAGTACTTTATACTTTTGAACTATCCCTCCTTCCTCCCTAGCTATTATAGGATTGTGCAGATTCTGAGGATTTATCGTCGAAATTTTTGTTGTTGTCGAATTTTTGTTCACGTTCGTGGGAAATTTGGATGGAAGAGGAGGAAGAGATATGGGGGAGATGGGATGTACTTTCATCACAGCTATCTTCCTCCAATCCTCCCACCAGTTAGTCCATACTATTTCAATCCCCCAAACTCCACCCTGGTTGCTACAAGTGGTGTCATGTAACCTAACAGTAAACGAGTGTGCTAGAAAGCAAGAACTATTATAGATATGCCCCATACGAACAATATTTTCGAGACCAGGAAATTAGGAAATATCCGTATGATCGTCACGACCATGTAAGATTACTCGGCGATGTGTGAATGTAGTTGGCGACGTATTTGTACTGCGTGGAGTTATGTATAATGCTGTGTTGGGTCTGGAGGTTTTTTTCAGGGGAAGTATTAGCTGGGTTGTTATTGTTGATTGTAAGCTGGGATTTTGTGCTGGTGTATAAGTTTCTTAGATAAAAGAAATGGGTTTCTATCGTTATAATGTAATCATTAATAAAGTGTATAAAGTGATTCTCTTGAAGAATACCTATTGACCTTCCCCTTCTTAGATGTCTACTTTATACCCGTCTTGGGATCTTTCATGTCGTTAATATATCAAATTCTAGGCTATTAGGTTATATCAAGAAATGCGGTTAAGTATTCTGTTGTATAAGAACTTTTCAAAGATTTAGAGGTTAATCTCTTTACACAAAGAAGACGAAAAGAAAATCCAGAGAAATGGGTAGGTATTAGACCTTAAGTTGTTCTTACATAGACTTATACAACACCCGACCTAGCTAACCTAAAGCAGAGTTGCTACCAGTTACGTAACTTGGCTGTTTATTTTTGAATTGTACAATGAGACTAGTAGGCACCTGTTATAAATGAGTAGATGAACTACTAGCTAGCTCACTGCAGATTTGGAGTAGAGAATCCTGGGGTTCCAATGACGGTACCTGATTCGGGGGTGTTACGGCCGTATGGAAGATCAGTGGGAGATGAATCCTCGAAATAATATGATTTTCGATATCTCATTTCATCTTCTGTTCTGGTTCTCATACCCAAACAAACCCCTGACTTAAGTTACCCTCGACAACACGGTTGCTGTCGAATACCCTTTTTACGTTCAATGGAAAAATGGATATACTCAAAAGTCAGATTTTGTCTCTTCCATAGATCAATAGTATGGGTGGTTTAGGAGAGAGTGTTGAGGTGGTTGGTTGGTGGGTATAGAGTTTAGTGTTGGCGCGAAGGAAACATAAATATTTGGTGCAAAGGTTTCGTTAGATGTCTGGAGCTTGATATTGGAGTATGAAGGGTATTTATATAGTTTGCAGTAAGTGGGAGGATAAAGGGGCTGTGACTTTAGAGATAGCTTCAGGGGCTGTAATGGCGAGTATTTATTGTTGTTACTTGTCTCTAGTGCGATATACCATTCGTGTATAGGTTCTATTTGCAAGAACCTGAAGAGTGATAATCTTTTTGCAGCACCAAAATAGTAAACTGATTAATTCATGTTCCTTGGTAATATATGTGAACACTTTCCCTCCTTATACATACTTCAAGTTTTAAAAAAGTAGCTTTGTAGCTTGGAGATGCCAGTTCCATAGTAGTACTGTGGTCTTTTGAGATGAGAGAAATGTAGAAATTACATCAGCAAATGGGTAATGTCCTCTGATCGTGATCTTTTATTGACTGACTGCGTACCTCATTATGGGATTGCCTTTTGTTGACGTGATATGGATATGACTGCTCACGATATCTAGTAGTATTTTGCTTTTTCCTATCCTGAAACCTGTCATAACAAGCTATCTCAATGTTCAGTGTTTCGTCTCTTCAAATAGTTTTAGTTTCCATGCACAGACAAACGCCTGTGAATCCAGAACATCTGGATCTATCATATGGAGACATAGTGAACACAATATGGGAAATCAAATAACATATCTCGAGAAAACCTGACAGGCAACTATCCTCCACCTCGCTTACTGTATCACTCGAAAGATCTATCCCCAACCAACCCACCTCATCAACCTTTAAAAAGCTCTCCCTCCAGTAGGCCTGCAAATAGCCGCCGAAGCAAAAATGACGCCCTCAAAGTCAAGAATTGTGTCTGAGCCTGCGGCGCGGCACTGCAAAGGAGCGTACAGAAAGTAGCAATACAGGAATACTGATTTAAAAAAATGCCCCGAAGTGGTTTGGAAGGTAAGATACTTGGGATTTATGTATGTTGGTACGACCTGGTTGTCGTAAAGGGTGATACACAAACATAATCTCTCTTTGTATTCATTCGTGTATGAAGAGTAAAGGTAAAGATAGGTGGTACCCTACAAGCTTAAGTATATGAGTGGCAAGACATCCACATGACCTAAAGCATATAGATCCCCCAGGCTCTCGTACAAGGTGCTATTCACCAGAATTATATACCGACAATGTAGAACTCGGCTGAGTTTTGGGTTCACCGTCGAATTTTTAGGTGCTGCCGAAGTATGCAGATATGTTCGGATCAGAAAGGGATTGGTCGCTGGTTTAGATCCAGCTTAACCCATCGCCCATAGTGTCGCATCGAGTCAACCGTCTTAGATGAGAATCTTGAGAATAGTGGGGATATATATGATGTTGCTGCTGTTGCTTGATGACCAAGTCGTACTTCCAGGAGCGTAATCTAAAGAATGCGTTTTTATACTGTTCCTTCCTCGGTCAAATCGGGGAACTATGGGGAGTGAGGAAATGAGCGGTCAAATTAGCATGTTTTCAAAAAGTGACTATGAGCTGGCTAAGTTTTGGTTAGGGGAGAGAGAGGATTTCCTGTAGGATCGTTACTGTAGGGTTCCTCGCTATAGTGCCTTGAGGAAGCATCCGTAGGACTTTCTGCTTTCTAATTACATATTCTCTTTAAGTTAATATACTAAAATAAGAATACCGGTACTGCGATGTCGTATGTACATGTTATTGAAGTGAAAAGAAGGAGTTTCGGAATGTAGAATGAACATATTTACGTATAGCTACGCCATTTAGATACATAATATATGCTACTAAATAGTAACAACATAACACCATAAGTTCCAAATTCATAGCTATGAATTTTGAATAGACCAGATACCTTCTAGAATATCTCAAAACGAGTAATCGGTCTTCCTAATAATGTGTTCCTTCAAACTGTTGGCCTATCGATCCATTCTCACTACTAAAAACCAAGCTATGGGCGAAACTCGATACTTGGATACTTGCTATAAGGATATTCTCTCTTATATCTTTGAGATTTTCTCACCCGAGTATCTGCTTGTGCTGAACTCTGCTTGTAGGCTGTATCGATATTTTGAAAAAGACTCCGGCCGAACCGTTCAATCGGGTCACCTTTTCGCCCCCTCAATAGATAATCTTCATGATTCGACTTCCTAATCGAGATCCTATCCGAAGGCGCATATGAAATTGCAGTTCTGCAGCTCAGAAGGGGAATATTTCCGTCGCATGGGATTTGACGTGGGGGTTTCCAGCTGTTGCGTTCTGGTTGAGGATTTCGGTACAAATATCGACACGGCTTCGGGAAGTGGAGTCAAAATAGAGTTTCGCAATCGTACGAGCAAGAGATGGATGGGATTTGTGGTCTTGAACCTTGGTTTTTGGAATTCCCATTGCAATTTTAGTTTCTGCAAAGATGGAAGACTGGGAAAGAGTGCCGAGAATTGCGGCACTGGTAAATGAATCCCCCCATTTACGGAAGATAAAATCCGGGAAAGAGACCAGTCACATATCACTTAACAGGGAAGACAGTGTAGTATTCGGATCCTTGTACGGCGTATTTGGGTGGAAAATATGTGGGGTTGGAGATTGATTTTGTGATTCTGATGTGAAGGAAATCGTACTTCCCATCTCATGGGAATATTAAAATTGTCGTACTCAAGTTGGAAACCGAGGACGGATATAGATTCTTGAGAGATCAGCTGACTGGAGGTACAAATAAACGTTGGAGAAAGCTTTTGTGGATTTTCACTGGCGAACCCTTCGGAGATGATGGAAATCTCCTCTCCGGATTAACAGATTCTCATCTCCACTCACGTCGGGGCACCGGAAGGCTCCCGCTCAGGTCTTTGCAGATGGAGCATTGACAAGATAGCGGTCATGGATTGATTGAGAATATGGGGCTGCCTCCTCCGTTGTTAAACTGAACATAAAACGAAGTTCTGGAAGTGGTAGTTTGCAATGGATTCTCAAGCTTATCATAAGCAAATATATATCGTCATCTCTTCGATTCACAGATGGGACTAAAAAATATAGTAAGAACAATAAACAATTTCAAATTGTTTTCATAATAAAGAAGTCTATTAACTTTTCGAATAATCTTTTACATACTTCCCTATACCAGATATAAAGTTTACATTACCACTCTCCCTTTATTATAATATTCCTCTCTAATCATCAAAGAAAGCTGTCCTATCCCCTTTCGCCCCCCCTTCTAAAACCCCCTCTGTCCGGGTAACCTCAACCTGAACCGTCTTCAAAATCACCCCTTGTTTCGGTATACTCTCATCCGGCTGTTTCGGTACATCCGGGCTATTTAATATCGTTTCCTGGCTTTCGTTCACCGTTTGTGGTCCACCATATTTCGAATTGCGGATGGTCTCGTTCGCGGTCGCCTTTGTGAAGACGGTCAGGTTATGGGATTGGGATCGGGAGATTTGTGGATGGTAGCCTTTGCTAGAGCTTCGGGAATTGGAGAATTTGAAAAGTGGCGTTAGAACCGGGAGGGAAGTTAGGATGATCTATATGGTGGTTGTTGGTTAGCATGGTATTTCAACTGCGAGGAGAGAAGTGGAAAAGTGTTGAACTCCTGGGTAAAGTTTTAATTCAAGAGGAAGAGGAAAAAGACTCACCCCAGTATTCATCTCCACATTCCCCCACACTACCAAGAGCGTTGAGTTCCCGTTCCCGAAAGCCACAACCCTGGTCTGCGTCATTCTCAATCCAGAGACAATAGTGGTAAAAAGGCCTAGAACGAAAACTGCAATGACACCATTTTTTTGCGATTAGGCATCTGAAGTCTGAGCATGAATGGTATAGGAAGCAAGAAAATAGTGACGTCAAACACCATTACTATGGTGGAAAAACTGTAATTGACGGGTGCGCTGTCGAGACATCGTCCTGGTATTCTTGGGAGCCATGATTTGTGGACCTGTTGAAAGTATTGGTCAGTGATCTTTTGTATAGATTGTTGTGAGACGAGAACTAACAGGCGTGCAGTTGAAGAGCAGGACAAATATATATGATAAATGTGCCATAACACAAGTTACTATTACTCCCCAAACCCAGACGCGATAGCTTCTTTGTGCCACCAAAAGAATTCGCAGATAACTCAGGCAGAGCGCGATTTTGAAGAGCAGAATTCCCATTACGTAGAATGGTCGTCCGGCATAATTAGCCTGTAATATTCTCGTCAGCTTTGATCTGCCCATTCCTAATTTCAATATAGGCTTACTGCTGAGTATTTGTCTAAGTTGACGGCCGGACGTAGTGCCAAAGGTAGGCCCAGCCCATATCTTGATTCTGCTTGAGTGATTAGACCCTAAGCTTTGAATAGAACACTTGGAACGAAAGATGGAGAATTGATGTTTCTCCTTATTGTAAGGTCTCAAGATATTTGAAGCAGCTAACCCAGATATTTTGACCAATTACTTCTAATTGTGACGAAACACCTAGGCCGGTATTTTCAATTTGCCAAACCTTTGAGACAAGCACAATCCCATAGCGCATTGGGTCGTCGTCTGGTAATCATGAATACTGAACTTACGAGTAAGCGTTAAAGCTTCGTAAACAATGCTGCAACACTAAGGAAGAAGTGATCAGTATTTTGTCTCTTATTCTCGATCACAAGCTCCATGAAGTAGAGTACTCACGGCAGCAACGGCAATACACCAATCATCAGGTCCCGGCGATCGAAGAATAGATACTCTCACGTAAATTCTCAACACAACCACCGTCAACATCAAAACCAACAGAGGTATCGTGACCCCCAAGATAAGGGGGTAGTTTGACTGCGCGTCTACCTCGGGCGAAGCATTGATAACGTACATCTCTGCTGCTTGGAGAAACAAGCCTCGAATCAAGATTTCGAAAAAGATTCCAGCAGGATAGACGGTATAATCCCAAAGACAAGAAGCTCCACAGAGGGGAAAAGTGGGAATCTATGGTACTTTTATGAAGCCAGAAGATCAAGTACCGGTACGAGCAGTCTGAATGAATATAAAATGTGCAAACCCCCTAAACAAAAACATACCATTAGCACGCGCTGCTATCCCCAAATATCGCTTCGAACGGAGTTGCAGTGAATATTCAATACTGAGATCCGTTTCTAAATTTCCCCGTACGATCCCAACATCCTCATGGCATTCAAGGTATTTGGCACTTTGTGCCGCAGCCATTTCTGTAGCATTGTGACAGAAGACATGGAAGAAAAGGCGCAGAACTCGATTCATAGAGTAAAAAGTGACGAGTCTGGTTCGAGACAGCGTGAGTGCATTTACATTCCTGTCGGAGAGCCAATCAACACAAATACCCACAATTAGAGAAAATCCCGTCACGGCATTTCGTCCGTGCTGCATACCGGGCTGTCACCCTAAGGTTCCGGTGCGGAGCCTTTTCCAAAGGATGGAAATCGTATGTTGTGATTGAAATACGACTGTAAACAGCTAGGCTGCAATATAGTCAAGTGGGGTATGTAGTAGATCCGAGGCAGAAGAAGGGTCAAGAAGAAAAGGAAAAGGGAGAGGGTTGATTCATCTTCTAAAATGAAGAAAAAATCTCTCATTGATGATAAATAAAGAGACAGGAAGAATTGAGGGCGACATATGGGAAATATGCAAATATAAGCTTAAATTTGTGCAAGACAGCCAACGCAAACAACACCACAGGTGACATGAAGTATCTGAAAGAACACAGCGTTGTAACAGCAAAACCAACAAATATCCATGCAAGTCCCAGCTACAGGCCTTGTACAGTCTGTCACTGGACCCAAGCCCATGGTTTCATCACCAAGCCCAAACCAGATCATGGAAAACAAAGTAATTATGCCGTTGCAGGCGGCCATCGACCACCAATCAACGGACTACCATCTGTAATATGATTCCAGTTATGGCCATCCAAGCAAGCCTGTCGACTTTTCAAAACGGCAGCCTTGCACCGCCGCTTCATCTCTTCTTCATAAACCTCGATGGCTCGCTTCTGATCCACCTCACCGCTGTTGACTTTGATGAGCTGATCTATGAGAAGTGCTGCATCGAGAATTCCATGATTTGCCCCTTCGCCACGATACATTGTCATGGCATGAGCAGCGTCGCCTGCCAATGTGACTTTCGGATTGCTTTCCCAATCCAGCGAAGGATAATCCGCAAGTGTGAGCGAAGTTATTCGCTCGCTATCGTCTGGGATCCCTTCAAAAAGACGCCTGATCGGTCCAATGAAGTCTTTTGCTCTCTCTTTCATGTAGGCTACGCGAAGTTTGTTGGTTGAAGGGGCGACATCCTTTTCTGAGTCTTTGAACTCCCAACTAGTGAGTACAAGAGCGTCGAAGGGATTTTTGCCATCTTCCTGCTCAAACACTTCTTGAACACTGTACCAAACATAATTTGAGGTGGTCGGATTAAGGCCGCTAAACATAAGGGGGTCTAGAGCGCGAGCCTCAAGACGTTGTTCGTAAGTGAAGTGCCGCACCGCTGCAAGAACTCGGATAGGAAGTTCCGTCAGGCTGGACTTTTTCTCATCCTTGATTAGGCTTTTTCTCACTAAATCCTTGTTAACGACAGGAGCAAATGGGTAGGCTCATGAGATTTCTGGGAAAGACAAACCTTTGCTATGATTGCCGTCTGCCCCAATCAACATGGAGCCTGTGGCTACGGAGCCATCTTGAAAATTAACCTCAACGGTCCCATCTGGCAGGTCCTTGAGGGAGGTAGCAACTTTACCCCATTGGATATCAAGGCCTTTGGATAGAAGATTGAGAAGTTTCAACCGATTAAGGCGAAGTCTTTCCTTGGTAGGAGGGATCTTGTAACGAGTTTCTCCTGTTTCCGCATTCAGAAAGAGGAAATTACCCGAATCTAATTTCAAAGTAGGGTCGACAGTGGCCTAAAGACTTATGGCATGAGTACGAGTACGAGTGATATAATCAATACCAAGTATCATGTGGGAAAGACTGACAGTTGTAAGATCCTTGGCCAGATCTGCATCAATAGTTCGCCTCAACGAGTTCAAAGACCAGTGCAGTGTCAAGGCCCAACCTTGAGGTTTCGAGAGACGATCTATATCCCGCTCAAAAATGGTGAAAGGGATGCCATGTTTCTTGCATCCCTGAGCCAGTGTCAATCCCACGATCCCCGCGCCAGCGATCAGGACATGCAAATCCGACTTGCGAAGCTTTTCTTCGCTTGTGGGCGCCATGATTCACAGATTCGGTTTGTAGCCAAAACTGCCCTCGAAGCGTGTTGATCTGAGATTTGGGTTTTCGAGTTACAGTGCAGCATAATTCAACGTCTTGGGAACTGTTGTGTGTGGCGCCAGAGAAGCAGAGGAAACGTAACCGTACTTTGGTGGGGGTGTGTTTGGCCAGTGGGAAATAGGGCGATAGTAGGGGTATAGTATGTACTAGTGTGCATGTTTGGAACCATTTGAAAATTGAGAGAACATTGAATGGCCAGAACCAGGAATACATAATCACGTCGCTCCACGTGTGGCGCCAGATTCGGATAAATGTGGTTCCAGCATCCAGTAGAAATGATCGAGAATGAATGCAACCCTGTCCAGGGTTATAACGCATGTAAGTGGGAGCATATTCTCGGAACCCTTCCATTGAAGTGTCAGTAGCGGTAGTCCGGGGTCTAATGTTGCGTTACATTAAGAACCAGGAAGGGCACAACGTCCGCTATCTCATATTCGACAGTAATTGTACCAACATGCGATGAAACTTAAATAATAAAGGTCTATACCTGACCAAAATGCTTATCTCTTTGTGTTGTTTCGTTACTTACGTTTAACATCTATCATTTTTCACATTCGCGATCTTCGCGGATCGAAAATCGCAAGAATGTCAAAAATGTCAACTTTCGCCTTATTGTCGAAACATAAGGGCGCTGTGGCTGCGGCAGCGACAGCTAGCACTGCTTCGCTCTTGTTTGGATATGATACTGGTGTTGCAAGTTCTGTCCTTGCTCTTAGAAGGTTGGCTTGTCTAGGTTTATGTGAAGAGAACCGTTTTCTAACAGCGGCATAGTTTCTCGACAGAATTTGGTATCTCGACAAACCCAGCAAAGGCAGCAGAGCTCTCCTCGAATATCGTTGCCCTCTTGAACGCAGGAGCCTTTTTTGGAGCCATTTTCCCAGCATTTTTATCTGGTGTGGTTGGCCGGAAACCCATGATGAGTATCGCAGCGTTTTTCCTGATGCTCGGAGGAATATTACAAACCGCCACTCCGCCACCAAAATTAGACATGATGTATGCGGGTCGTGTGATTTCTGGATTTGGAGTTGGAATGGTTAGTAACTTGACGCCCGTATATGTTGCGGAAATCTCTCCCAAGGAGCTTCGTGGGCTCCTCATGTCACTGTTCGAAATGTCCCTAGTATCTGGAGGATTCCTCGCATACTGGACGGCATATGGCGTTTCCGTCCACATGAAGCCAACTAGCGGGCAGTGGAGAACGCCATTGAGTATCCAGATCATCCTTGCTGGCATCGTCCTCGTTTCGTCCTTCTTGATTGTTGAATCTCCCCGATGGCTGGCTAAACAGGATCGCTGGGAAGAAGCAGAAACCTCACTCTGTTACCTTCGTGGTCTTCCCTCAGAAGATATTGACCTGAAGACTGAAATGGCTGAGATTCATGCTCAAATCGATGAAGAGATCCAAGCTACCTCAGGACGTTCCATCAAGGAGCTTTTCCAGAGCCGAAACCTCATTCGACTTTTTTGGGCATCTGGAATTGGATTTTTCAGTATCTGGTCGGGACAGACCGCACTCTTGTACTATGGACCAGCGGTATTCCGTCAAATTGGATTCAATGGCCAAAATGCGGCACTATTTGCCAGTGGAATGTTTACCTGCATCAAAGTTGTCGTTACAATTGCGTTCCTGGCTGTCGGCATTCAGAAATTCAACAGAAAGACTTTGTTGCTGGTTGGAAGTTTTGGAATGGCGGCCATGCTCTTCTCTCTTGGAGCTATCCTGAAAACACATCCTCCTATTCCTGGACAGGCTACCAACAACACCCAGCGGGAAAGCAATGGTAGGCTTTGAGCTTCTGAATGAATTCCGGAAAATTGACTGACATTTCCTAGATGGCTGTCATTTACATATATATCGCGTTTTATAGTGGAACTTGGGGGCCAATCAACTGGGTTTATATGGGAGAGTAAGTTTCCATCTCGCTTATGTCAAATATATTGTGCTGACTTTCATAGAATCTTTCCAACCAGAATCCGCGATTATGGAATGGCAATCTCCGTTATGCTCATCTGGGTTTGCAACTTTGTTGTATCCAAACAAACTCCTATCATTGTCTTAAAGATTGGCTGGAAGACCTGGATGGTAAGCAAATTTCTTGGAAAGAGTTACCTGAGTTTAACTAACCCTCAATCTAGATCTTCGGAGCCTTCAATGCCGCCGCATTTGTTTTCTCACTATTTCTGCCTGAAACAAGGGGTGTTTCCTTGGAAAATATGGATATTCTGTTCAAAGCTGTCGATGAGACGAAGCGGCAAAAGGATATTGAGGACCGTATTGGTGTCGTTTCGGAGGTTGTACCGCGTGAGAGTACTGCAGCTTCAGAGGCAAAGAGTCCAACTCTTGACACAAAAGAGCTCAGCTAGATGTGGAAGATGTTGTAGGGGTTTATCACTGAATTCATCATATAGACTGTACATAGATGATAGAGATCTAATACCTTCGACCTTAATGCCCTCAGTTTGCGCGGATTTTGGGCCACGAGAGGTATGAGATATAAATGTTTGATCGCGTTCTGACACGTTAGAGCGGTAAATACCCAGCTGAAAAAGGGGTTAATCCAGGCACGTGATCTTGCAACACCCCTGAAGTCAACTCAGCATACAGTAAACTCGCAATCTTTTATTTCTGCTATATTCAATTATAATACATTACTCCTGATTTGAGGACATACGGCGTCATATGTGTATGCGTCGGTCTTGTCTCACCCAGCAACCATTCCAGACTCTCATTTTCCAGTCTGGAATGGAATGGTGAATTCTTGGAATCGTATTCTAGATGCCAAACGTTGCTCCGGAGAAGTGAGATCTGGACCTCATTATGGCAATACCCAAGTATATCTGACAGATTGATAGCTCCTGAACCATCATATCTACCATCTTATCAACCATCATCAAAGGAACTGGCTGTGAAATCACCGTCTTGGTCCAGATGTCTCGGAACTCTCCAGACTTTTATTGAAATTCTCCAGCCCTACGGCTCCATGCGTGGGCCGTGGCACCAAAAGATCGTGGCTGTGGACCTGGATCGTCTTTCCTACCTATCGCCATCTTGCTGTGTAAACAGCCCGGAGATTTTCTTATCATGACATCTTGGTTTGTTGAACGGTAACACAAGAGGCTGAAGAATTCCTCCTGTTGCTGGAAGGGACGAATCGAGCTGCAGCCGAGTAGATGACGGACTTGGTTATCAACTTCATATACCCCCTTTTCTTGCGTCAACAATCTTTGATTCTTATTCTTCTGCTTTGTGATATCTTCATTTAACTACCCGCTTTGTACTCCCAAGTCTCGCACGCATTGTAAGTCGGTCTAGTCGCTCAGCCCCACGCCTCGGGCGTTGTCATACACAAAGCAACACCACCAACCGTCCAACCAACTAAGTACCATTTGATAGGTCTCACCGACAAAATGCAATGTGACATACATCTCTTCCCCGGGACTCACAGTCCTTCTGCAACTAAATCCCTCAAAAGAAGGCAGACCCTGTGGTCTCGTTCAAAGATCTCCTGATTCGAATTTCCTGCGACTTTCTTGAGATAGCATCCACCATGTTATTCATAGGGCTCGCTCTCCTCTTGGGAACAACCTTTGCACAAAGACCTGCGGATGCGACAATATGCGATTACTACACCGTCAAGCTTTATGGAAGCAACACAGCGGAATCGCAGAACAAGTTGATGCAGGGAATCATTTCCATGGCATGGGGAGGAGGTGCAGGAATTCCAAATACGAGCGATATCACGGGAATCCTCAATCCAGGAACTTTCCAAGGAACAAACTTGAACCTAAGATCTTATTTCGACAGATCAAAGGCTTCTTCGAATCCTAATAATGTTGCTGTTGGGATTAACTGGTTAGATGGTGGGGGTACACAGCCCTTGAATAACTTCCTGAATAGCAATGCAAATAGTATTGTCTTAGCAAATAATACGAGTCAATAGTACGAACATCACCATTCTTTGTTGTTTTCGTCAACAAACTAACAAATCCTTAGTCGTTTATTGTCCCATTGGACATTTACATTCAGTCGATTATTCGGTTGCACACAACCGAAACCACTACCATCTTCGGAAAGCAGATTTCTGAGTCCCGCCTGCGTTCACAAATACATGAAGCTTAAACAATACCGAAGTAGGACACCTCATCGACCAGCTCACAAAAGCCAGTACACATTTCGGTTTTTCAGAAGTTGATAGGGCGACACTATCTCAGTCCATGAACGCCCTATATAACATTCGCTGTTCTCCTTCTCAAGAGGTGATGCCGTCCCTCGGTCCACAGTTATATTCCATCTGCCAGGATGACTCTTGTCCCCTCGCTCAACCGATTCCAAATTGTGCAGCATACTCCGACATCCAACCCAGCATCTCAAAATCCGGAGGACCTGCCTCTTCAACCGGAGTCCCAACTTCAACATCGGCAACTTCCTCAACAACACCAATATCACCCAATAACTCACAGATCACCTCCTCGTCTCCTTCCCCATCCTCAGCCGCAACCCTCTCGCCAGGCGGTATAGCAGGGGCAGTGATAGGCGGCTCCTTCGTCCTCCTCTCCTTCATAGGACTAATAATCTTCCTCCTCCGTCGTCGGCCCAACTCCCATCCCCCACCACCTTCAACATACAATCCTGACCCCTCAGATGCCTCGTACGCCTCACATGGATACAATGATCACCACGCAAGTGTTCTCTCAGGACAAACTGCACATGTAGAACAATGGATGCAAGAAGCGCCTCCTACACCTTATATTGCGCCTGTGGAAATGGATAGTGGTGCGGAAGGAATGAAGAGCCATGCGTCTGGTATGGGGTACGGGTCACCTAGTCCCGTTTCGCCGCACGTTTCGCAGAGGAGTATAGGTTATGGGGGAAATATGTCGCCGCCACCGCTTAGGTATTAAGGTGAACATCAGGTGTTTAGTGTTATGAACCTTTTGGGGAGTATTAAGTGAAAGAATACTATAGGGATGGTGTTGGTCTTAATTTCTAATCGGTGTTTGATTCGGGGTGTTTATTTTCTTTCTAAACCTCTAAGCGAGGAACTTTTGTATCTAGAGAAAAGCAAGACGGCGAGATGCCAACTATTATAGTATTGAATCGCTTGTTTGATTAGTGCCGCGTGACTTTGGTCGTTTCCTCTTGAGCAGGTCAGGTCCCTTGATGATGAGGTGCTTCAGAAAGACTTGCCACAAAAGAATGCTCCAAAGTGTGCTAGAAAATTACTCACAGCAGAGCTGCGCCTGATGATCTGGAACTTCAAATACACGGTGAACGTTCAAGAGGAGGAGCATCAATCGCAGATAATCCATTACCAAGATTTCTTCACGCGGCGGCTGAAATTCCTCTCTGTCAAATCTCCACATTCTGCTCATTGTCCTCTTGTTTCGTCCTCCTCAGTCACTAAGGTCGAACGAATGTTTTCACTTCGACAGCAAGAAGAGTTTCGACAGCAAATGAACTCTCAAGGAGAATTCCGAGAAGGAGTAATGTTACCTTCCAGTTGAGACGGTGCCCTCCCTACTAATGTTTGCTTTGCAGTCTCAAAAGACGACATCTCCGCATTGAGTATTATGGGCCATAACACCTGAAGTTCTCCATCTGTCGTTGCTTGCTTCCCGCTTCTCCATGGGTGCGGACAGTATCAGGATCTGAGGACGATTATATGACAAGGTCGATGCTCATGATCATGCTGCACAACGCAATGGAGACTTCGTCAGAGTCATTGTTTATGTGGTCCTATGAGGAAGTTAGCTTAAAGAAGTGTCATGCATGGGTTTTCAGAGATTTCTATTTAGTTGTGAGTTCTGGTAGGGTTTCTTCTAAGCTGTATCTGGATCTCAGCCGTTGATGTTTTTGTCATAATGCCGATTCTTTCGAACAATACCATTTGATCGACACATGATTGTTCTGCTAAATGCCTGCTAATACAATTTCACTTATCCTGAAGGTAGGGGAGAGGCCCTACGAGACTCAAAGTAGTATCGATATTTTCAACTCTATGATTGCTAGAAAACGAGGCATCTAAGTAAGACTAAATCGGAATATTCCAAAACCAAAGTTTGGGTTTTAATACCTTGACGTACCCAGATATGAAGAGTAATTATAGCGAGCCGAAGAGCTGGTTCTTAGTCAATAAATTCAATCACACTCTAGACGGGGCATTCATGTCTCAACCCACTTCCTTGCCGGCTTACTAAGTTCTCCAACTTATAAATGCCACCCTAGTCCTCGAAGTCCCGTCATCCAAACACTCTACCGGGAAGCGCCATTGACACCGTTTCCTCGGATACCATTCCAGTTTCCTAGATTCACGAGACGGTGTCTCCCAAGACTATCATACTCAGATTGCTCGCATACTAAATCTAGACCCAAGGGACGCAATTACAACTCCCGAAATACCGTAAAATTGAACGTGTATTTTGCTTTCGACAGCAAGAAATCTTTTGGGAGTAAATGGGTGAAAGTGGTTGTGAGAGGATCATCTAGATTATCTTGATTTATTTTAGGTAGATGTTGACTGGTCCTTGATGTCAAGATATTACAACAGTCGAGAAAGTCGAGGTGAAAGAGAGTCCAGCTAACACGAATTGCGGACCATCAGTATATCTTGTTTTCAGTCAAATCGTTCTTCGCTGTATCGCTGTGGAAATTATCGTTTTTGGAATGATAAAGCCGCAAGTCCTTTACAGTAAGTTGGATTCTTTGACCGCAGCGACGAGGCAATATCTTGTATCTGACCTCTTCATCTTGAGCGATTTTTTGATTGCTGGAACTGAAACATGCCTATTATTTGTAGGCTCGAACGCTGGTATCATAACACCACTTGGAAAGTGCATGTACTGGTAAGGAAAAACATGGGACCAAAGAGCATCTCGATGAACTATCTACTAAAAAAAACCATAACTAAGTATCCATTCATCCGAGTATCAACAGAAAGACTCCATACCCCTATGAAGAGAAGTAATATATTGACAAATCAAACATTCAATCGTACAACTAAATAAAGCTAATCCACACTTCCAAAACTGGAATCCATCTAAACCAAGATCCAGCTGACGAAGCCATGGATATTACTTAAAGAAAACCGAACAGCAAACACTCAATCAGAGAAACCCTCCAAAATGGTTCAGCGAATTCGCCAAGAGAGGGGTCTGCTGCTGGGAGGATTGACCAGAAAAACCTAGCTCTCTCCAAATCCCCCAAGTAATCTTTACCAGAATTTGTAAAATTGTTATATTGCGTATCTCGCCTTCCCTTTTCCTTGAAAAACGAACATCCTATTTTCGACGGTAGATGAAAGCTCGACAGCGAGACTAGCAACGCGGAGCCACTGAAGATGGTTCTGGTTCGAGTGGGTGAGTATGCCGAGTTACTGTCAAGCATCTCGATGCTTCCTAGGTGGTGAAGGGAAAGGAATGATGATCTAGGGATACGATGGGGAAAGTCCATAGGTATGATTGATCAAGTCTTTGATTTCGTAATGAAGGGTTTGATAAAAAGAGTGATTTGGTGTGTCACTGTCGCTCTCTTCGCTCTCGCTCCAGAACTATGGTACTCGAGTCCAAAATTGTCGGACACCAGAAACTCCGAATTTTTAGTTAAGATTTTAATGGATTCAAGGTTAAGCCAACATTTCGTATAGAATAAAACGCTACTTACTCGGAATGTACGCGTGAGGGCATGTGCTTGTAACAAGGTCTAGAAGGTTCCTACAACGTATCCTGGAAAGTGCTATGGGGTACGGAACGAATTAAAAGTTTCCTCAAGCAGAACTCTCAATTTGTATCACACATCTAAGCCATTATTGACTTCATCACACTATAAGGACGAACAGCCCGAGTTAGAGAGTGATGCATGGTATGAAGGTAGCTAGAGGATCATATATATGTCTTTACGATCGCTGACCTAGTATGTTTGAGGTATAAAATTCTTAATATGATTTCGGGAAATTGAGGTTCAGAGAAACATCTCAAAGAAGATCCGCTTTCGGCGTTGGTGTGGCGGTATTGGCGGTTCAAAGACGATCCGAATTTGATGCTGGTATAAGGTGCCGCTGTCACTGTTGAACCAGAGCGCTACCTGACCTGGGCAACCAGAACTGATTTTTAGGTAACCATGAATGTATGGTTCTTTAGATTCGACAGTAACATAAGTATCGACGGTAAACTGTCCCAAGAATATAACAAAATGAGAGCGAAGTATAGGGACGGGGAGAAGGCGGGACAAGCAAAAGTCGGCGTAGTAAATTCTCGTTGTCATATTTGCAGTCTCCGTCCTGACTGTCTATTAGCAAAAGCTCTCACATTGATACAGTAGTCAGGCCGACTCTGTTTGCTGATTTGACTCTGATGACAAAACTAGGGATACATGATTTCTGGTGGGAGACTGCCTCTTTGTAAGAGTTGCAGATTTCACTGTTGGGGGGGACGGCTTTCAATTTCTTACTACATAGTGTACTGATGGATTGAGTTTCTTTCATTGTTTTGATATGTGACTTTGAAGTAACTTTGCGAGTAAGCTCAAGGGAGCTAGCTGTTGGCAGAAGCCAAAACCTCGCATTGCTATGCCGAATGTTTAGCAAGCTTGTATGAAAAGCAGAAGAAATATCGTCTCTTGTGAAATTCCTGCGTATCAGTAAGCAATTGGTCTTAGAAATGACCGTAGTTGCTGTTAGTTGTTTCTTGATTGAGAGGTTTTGTTTGATACTGTAACCTCTCGCTTATTTTCCGTGATTCTCCTTTCTGCTTGAGCTGATAGACTTCATTACTTATTCCGAAGATTATAATATCAATCGAAGTATTGATAAATATCTAGATATCCAGACCTAGATAGACAATGTAAGTAGTTATTTGTGGAATTACAATTTTACACGTGCTACTGCCAAGAAGCTGCTCCTCGCAACCAACCTGGCGTAGCGTACCCTGTCTACAGCGTTTCCCTGCACAGCTTCAGCACTATAATATCAGCCAGACAGATTGTGGTTCATCGCAAGGCATGATGGAAAGTATACACATCAGATCGCCTGGATCTGCAACGAACCGGAGACTGACATCATTGAAGTTTTCACACAAATCCGACGTGCCGCTGTCATCGATAGCTATTGTTATTGGCGCCACCACCCCGCCGAGGGGTCATCTACTGCTCGTCGGCTAACAATCATGAGACACCTGAGCACAATACAGTAAACACGAACCCACCAGCCCACTACGCCCAACGCGCGCCAGGGAGACGACCAGACCAAAGGACATGCGATCATGAGCGAAGCTAAGAAGAAGTTGTTGAGCCTATTTAGGAGTCGTAGCACCTCGGAGGGAACTTCCCAGGACTCCAAAAGTGTACCTATACCTATGTCCTCACCCTCAGCTTCACATGCGCTAACTTACACCCGGTAGCGCGATAGAGATAGAGACCACAAGAACTCACGACCATCGACCAGTGGTACCAGTCGCTCGAAACGATCGAAAAAACGACGCTCCACGCGATCGCATAGCGAGACACCGAAATCCACGAAAGATGATCGCCGCAAGTCCATCTCCAGCTACGATTCTGGGTCGCCACAGCCCCTCGCCTTGACAGTATGGCCGCCCGACGGTCTCGCGCCGAATGGAAATATGTCTCAGGGAAAGGCGATGGAGCTGATTGCAAATGGCGTGCCGGTGTTCAAAGGGATTCGACGACCAATTCCTCATGCTTCGGACGAATACTACAGCTTGTATGCAACATGCGAAGGGAATGGAAGGGCGGGCAACGATCGCGCGACACCCTTCCATGCGGCATATACAGCCTGGTCTTTTCGGCTTCAAGGTCCAGACCCGCCATTACATCCTTGGGAAACGCTGGAGCAACCTAGTCTTTCATTCTGCTTTGGCACCAGGCCAGGAACAAGAACGTTAAATCATTGGGTTGGACTGTCTGGAAATCCAAGTCCACCTATAGAGCTCAGGGAACCAAACATGAGGCCACGGGAGGCAGAATTGAAGACAATTTTGGAGCGCTTGATATATTTGGAGGGAGGTTTCGAGGAGGACTACGAGGATCTGATGTACTCGAATCTCTACAAAAAGTTTCTGAAAGATCCGGACAAATTCCTGAATCCACACAAAGCTATGGAAAAGCAAATCGCGGATCTGATTACGGTTCTCTCACGACGTGACTGGATTGACTTTAGCAAACCGGAAAATCAAGTTGTAGCCAAATTCTTTGCTAGTGCTGCCTACACAGATCATGGGAGGTACAAGATATTCTTTTACCAGCTTCTGCTTAGCATAGAACTGGACCTTCGCATACATTCAAAAAATCACACAGAGGCGGCAAAGGAACAGCTACTCAATCAATTGCCACCATGTATTGCTTGGAGCTTGGCCCTGGCAAGAAAATGGAGAGAGTGTATGAGTATTGAGAAGTTTGAGACAGGGAGTGATCCAGAACAGAGTAGGTTTACCAGTTGAAAATCCTTTCCCCCGTTCTAACATTACAAACCAGTCAAATTTCGACTGAAAGCCAAGAAACCTCAGGTCAAGACTCTACGTAAGTTTGCTAGAGCTATGAAATGGCCGAATCTCGCACGAGTCGACGAAGTGCTTAAAGAAAGAAATCCTGATGCAATCCGCTTGGAGGATCGAAGTTCAGATACAATGACCTATTTCACAGGGATGATACTACCAGGAGTTACAATGCCCTGGCTAATCATGAACTCCCTGATCGATTGTGACGATGATGTCTCAGCAAATTCGTTAGCAGCTCTAACCCATATGCATCCAAATAGCGGCTTTCAGTATAAGGGAACAACATATTGGTCCAGTACTACAATTGTGGGGAAAGTTATAGCACCAACATGTCAAGAAATTGCTGGATGGGTAGGGCCAGTTCGACCAGCACCCGACATGCCACGCATGGGCATCGCTCGAATTCGTCAACGGCGACCTAAGCAATTTCTTAACATCAGTGATATAAAAACCATGATGGATCGTTCTGATCCTCTTGGTCCACCTTCAGATACATATCCTGTCGCTGAGTATCAACTTTTACTCCCTGATGCAGATGATGTCTCAGATAATGTTCGTATTGAGACATTATCTCTGAAAAAGATTTCATCGAATCCACTCAACGCTGAAGCAGAAGGAAGACCACTCATCTATGACGCTTGCGTCCAGTTTGCAATTGAAGGTCGTTCTTGGCCGCTCCGTCTTTCATACGATGTTAACTTCATTTCTGCGTGTCCTTGCGCACGTGGTCCTCATCCGTTGTTTTTCGACTATGTCTATAAAGCCGTCAAGGTGTCTGAAATTCTCACCATCAAAGATTGGGGCAAGTTGAATAATCGAGCAGGTAGCGTAGGACCTAACGGTTCCGGGTCCGGGGTAGGGTCTTCTGCACAGGATGAGGATGATTCCGAGACGGTGTTGGTAATAGAAGCCTTTGGAGTATCGGACAACGAAGTTCTGGCAAGAGCTTGGTGTAGTCATTGGGGTCTCAGTGCTATTGTTGCAGATATGGAGAAGACATGGTATGTTTTTCCTTCTTTCATTCTTACATTTTACAGTACATACTAAGTTCAATCATCTAGCATGGCATGCGCTGTCCGGGAAGCATATGCAGCTTGCGTCAACGTTTCTATTCTCGTCGAAGGCACAACTAATGATAATGATGAATCATGAAATTTGCGATGATGGGTTTTCTGGGTCGTAGGGGTTAATATACATACGTAGGATGATGGAATGGAAGAATTAGATACCCTGGAGTCACCTGGGGCATAGGGAATAGGCATTGATGGGATACCCGGGGCATGGCTTTTCCTTTTTTTTGCGAAATTTAGTCCTTTGAGATAGCATTGCTTATCTTTTCTTGATCGCAATGAGCATTGCAGCTGATTGTTCTTGTTGTTTTTACAGCTCGGAATTTTTGCTAAAGTGCCACGAACTCTTTCTTCTTTAGTTCTCTTAATTATTCGGTTTTTATCTTGAATTCACATTCTCAATTTGAATCTAGTAAGCCGCGCCAGCGCTCTCACCATCATCCCAAGCCCTCTACCAAAAACGCTCTTTTCACTCTCCAAGCTAATCTTACTCTTACACTCACTCAATCATCCTCCCATCCTCCGTGCCTCACACCCCCTCCCCACCAACCCTCTCCCTCCCAACAACATCCCCCCACCTCACACTAAGCAACACCCCCTTTCCCCTCCTTCCCCTCCCCCTAACCCGTCCTCCCCCACCATTGCCAAAACACTCACAACACACCCCCTCCCTAACCGCATCCCTCACACAACTCCACCACCCCTCATCCCATCTCCCTATCTCCCCTCTCCTCTCTCCCTCACCTCTCTCCCCCTTCTCCGACTCAGTCTCAAAACAAAACTCCAAAGCTTCAACCCCCGGAAACGTGGTTAACACGAGGAAAACCCAGTCCCGACACGGAGACGTCGTAGAGAGGACGATTTTTATACGACGGATGAGGGAGAGGTGACTAGCGGGCAGGATGGTGGATAGAGTGAGGAGGGTGAGGGGATTGGTAAGGAGGAGGGGGAGGTTGGTGTACAGGGTGAAAAGGGGGATGTCGTGAGAGGTGAGGTGGGAGGTTTGGTGGAGGGGGGTGTGGGGGTGGGTTTTGCGTGTTTTTTGTGGTGATGTTGGTTGAGAGGTTGATTGTGGTTTTGTGGAAGAAGTGAGGGAGGTGTGTGAATTTGGTTTGTTGGTATCGTTATTGAGTGACGGTTCGAGTGACGCGAGGAAAGTGCTAGGATTAAAATCCGGCAGTGAAGCGATGTAATACCCATATATCTTATGGCGTAGCTCTGGGGGGAGTGAGAAAAGAGGGAAGGGCCTCTTCTCGCTCTGCTTTTGGGGGTTTTCGCCTAGGCTTTGTTGTTGAGACGGAATAGTCTCTTGTTCTGAGAATTCTGGGGATTCTGAGGTTGTTTGGTTGGATTGATGAGATTTTTGTGTGTTGAGATGATAGTTGGGAATTCTGTCTGAGAATTTTGGAGAGTTGTGGTTTGAAGGCATTTTGATGGGGTGCTGGTTTGGTGGTATGATTGCTTGTGGTGAGTTCGCTTATTCCGGAGCGATATCTTGAACTCTCTTGAGAGAATCTCTGTTGATCTCAATACTTTATCGTTGTCGATTCGATTCTTTCTCTTTTCAATACCCATACACTTAATCCATCCATTCAAAATAAAATAAAAACAAAAACACAAATAAAAAATCGGGCGCGGTCCTTATAAACACCCCCCACGCCAAGAATAGCTCCGTTTGAGCAAGTTTTTCGTTTCTTTGGGGATTGATCGGGTTTGAGCAGGTAAATCAAATTTTACTCCCGGATCGTCCGTTTTGTGTTTTTGTGTGAATTGAATGAATGGAATGAAAAGGGATGGGGAGGGGAGGGGGTATTTAATGGTTTTGGTTTGGAAGTACCTGGAGGGTTAGTTGTTGGGTTGGGTGGGTACCTTGATGGGTAGGTGGTGTTTGGTCACGTTTTAGCTTGCATTTTTGCAGGTAGTGATGGGAAGGATTGAGGGGTGTTGGTTGTTAATTATGTTTGGGGCTTGATGGGATATTAGGGTGAGGATTGTTTGTTTTTTTGAGTGTCGGCTGTATGGCTGGTTGATCTGTTGATCATGATTATGGCATTTTTTGGAAAGGGGTTTAACACGTGATTTTGTGTATAACTTTTGGATTTCTTTTATGTGCTTGCTTTTCTAGGTATGGAGAAGATTGGTTGCCGGGTTTTGTTATTTTAGATTATGTTTGTTAGTATATATATATTCGGGTTTATAGAATATAGAAATGTTTCTTTTACGCGATTTTGATAACAGTTTAATATATAAAAAATTATAAGGTATATAATTAATCCTTAGGATTATTCGCGCTAGAACTATAATATTCGTAGGTTTGGTATAATCTAGGGTTCAAGTACTAGGGCTCTTAGGGAGGTGATTATGTTACTATCTTCTAATATCCCTACTTTTGTCTAACACTTATTTAATTGTATTGTTTTCTAAAAGGAACAACTAGTAGAAGAACTTTGTATACTAGGATCAATTTAGATCAAAGTTCATCTCGGGATTAGGGACATAGATATACTTACTAGCTAAGTCTAGCTTGTAATAACGCAAGAACATAATAACACGTTCATTTACACCACTTGGATCGGTAGAAATATGTCCAATTAGAGTAGCATAGAACAAAAGTCAAAGTTCCTAGGTATAACGCGATACTTGTACGATAAAAGCATTAAAATTCTGTAGAGAGAGCAGATTTGATACAGGAACTTGTTACGGCTATCAATGAAACGTCTCAAAGTCCAGCCCTCGCAGAACATATATCTACTCTTGAACGTGAGATGAAGACTGAAAGTTAGTCATTGATACAAGTTCTAATTCATCTTAGCTGTGGAAGATCGTCTAAAGCGACTATTTCCAGTCCATCTAGCTTGTTCGTAAAAATGCCTTGCGAATCAGCCTCTTTTCCGAGTAACAGAACACAGTTTCATATGGGGAGTCAATTCTGGCGCTCTATATGATTTGATGAAGAAAAAGGTACGGTATAAGTTGGCGTATTTTGGCTTTTGTATGATGTGTATATTCTTCTACGTTTATCTCATTAATTTATCTGATTCAAGGTTTTCTTGCTGATTAATAGTAGGTGCTTTGTGTGGTGGAACTGTTTTTCTCGCTAAAGCCCCCGGCATTATCTTATGTCTATGGGGGATAGTTTTTTCTTTTCCGTCCGGGGTTAGTATGATAGCCGTGGCAGTGATTGTAAGATTTATGGTGGAAAGCGCAATGTTGAAGAAGTTGAAATAAATGGGATTTTGGCGACTTTCAGCCGGGGAATTGTTACCTAGATATAACACGTTCGTAAAGAACCTCACATGCGGAATATAAGTATGGGATAAGGAAAATGTGTGAATAGGCTCAAATTCAAATGCATATATGAGGTCATTACACAGATGGTCCAAAAGTCGAATATCGTTCTCACTGGGCACTGAATTATGAAATAACTTGTAAATTGACTTTTGTTAGTTCTAACAGCTCTCAACCACCCTCTATCTCCGCAGGCTGTTGTATAAGTTTTGCGCAGATATCGCGCGAATATTGTCCACTATTTAGTACGAACCCTTCGTAGTTAAGCTATCACGAAAACCCCATGAAAAACCTTGCCTACTCATACCATTCTAGATATGATAGACAATGTCTTTCTGGCATATAACTGGAGCTAGAATTTCAACCAGCTATAGCCAACATCAGCTTTGGTCACAAGTTGCTGATTGTCGCCTAAGGTTCTTTTTCAAAAAACTAGCCAAGGCTTCCTCAGAGTAGGAATAAACAGTGGTTGAAAGCTTATGCACAAGCCAGGAAATGCAAGTGTCAGCAGAGGAATTATAATGCCGGAGACATAGTGGGGATTTTATGGGCCTGGAAAGTCAATTGTGAATTTGTGCAAGTACTTCACATATACCAATCGAACTGTGGATTATGCTGAGATGTGAATAAGAAGGAGGTTGATACGTCGAGATAGAGCTTTATGAAAGAAATGCATTGCAAATGTTGTTTTCTTGTTGTATTGGATCGAAGTAAAAGCTCTACAGTGCCAAAAGCTTAAAGTTCTCTTTGCGCTATTATTGTAAATGGTTACCACAGAGGGTTGTCAAGTCAGCTTACTGCTTTGCCAGTCCTATGTGGTTTATAGAATACCCGATTCAAAGCCACTTTCTTCATTTCGCTCAACTGTGCGAGAATGAGTGCTTATTTACTATGATAGGAAACCATAGAACAGTCTCAAAAAAGCAGCCAAAATAACTTCTACAAACTCGTATTCTCGGACGGTCGGATTTTACCCTTCCGACTACGCCTGGTGAGTGGAGATAGGAGGTCCTCCATTTACCCCGGTTAATAGTCGGTACATCTTCCTCTGCGCTGTCGCTTGGCCATCTCCACATCTGCGCAAGGTAGTTTCATGGTAACAGTTTCATACAGTACCTTCATATCATATAAATACCTCTTCATATCGACTGGCCCTTCGATCTGATGCCCATAACTTTTACCACACTAGTACAACGAGCAAGCAAGTAAAATGAGTTGGAATACTATAAGTCAATTTTGGCCTCCGAAGCCTGACTTTACTGAGACAGACATCCCAGATGGCTCTCTTGCTGGGAAAGTGAGCATTTCCTTTCTTCGGTCACTTCACCTGATATATGTTACAGTACTGTATATTATGTACCTAAATTTGCTGACCAACATAATAGGTATACATCGTAACAGGTTCCAACACCGGCATCGGTAAAGAGTTAGCACAACTCCTCTACTCCAAAGCCGCAAAAGTCTACATCGCCGCCCGCTCAAAAGACAAAGCCCTAAAAGCAATCGAGGACATCCAAGCCAAGCACCCAGAATCCAAAGGACAATTAGTCTTCCTTCCCCTCGACCTGGCTGATCTCAGCACAATCAAGGCGTCAGCAACCGAGTTCCTCTCCAAAGAACAGAAACTCCACATCCTCTTCAACAACGCCGGTATCATGGACCCACCCGCGGGGTCGAAATCCGCTCAAGGCTACGAATTACAGCTGGGAGTCAACTGCCTCGGTACCTTCCTCTTCACCAAGCTCCTAACCCCCATTCTGGTCTCCACCGCGACCTCAGAACCATCTGGCTCTGTTCGTGTGGTTTGGGTTTCCTCCGCTGGTGCAGAACTAGGATCGCCCATTGGAGGAGTAGAAATGGATAATCTCGATTACAACCGCGAGAAAAGCAATCCTGAGAAATACGCCATTAGCAAAGCAGGGAACTACCTCCACTCGACCGAATTCGCCAAGCGGTTCAAGAAGGATAGGGTGGTCAGTATTGCGTTGAATCCTGGGGCGCTGAAGAGCGATCTTTACAGGAACCAGAGTTGTGTTGCGCAGGCTTTCACGGGGTTGATTACGTATGAAGTCATTTATGGTGCTTATACCGAGTTGTTTGCTGGATTGTCGGATAAGATATCGCTGGAGAATTCGGGTGAATGGGGTGAGTTTTTCTTCTGAGTATGATGATGGGAAGGGATTGCTAATCTGGGGTTTAGTCGGACCTTGGGGACGGTTGTTGCCTATTAGAGCGGATATGCTTGAGGCTTCGAAGTCGATGGCTGAAGGGGGAACTGGGAATGGAGAGAAGTGGTGGGAGTGGAGTGAGGAGCAGGTAAAGCCGTTCCTGTGAGATGTCTCATGAATCGAGGGTGTATATTATGGAATATTTTGATTCTACCATGTAAAATTCATAGACATGTCATACCTGGTTACCAACAACTCGAACCTAAAAGCACATTCAGGTGCCCTCTTCTTTTTACATACGAGAACATGATTCATTTTCTCTCAGGTCTCCAGTGAAAGCGAGTACTCCAATTATGACTGTGAAAGCATGCTGTTTTCCAGGTTTAGCCCATTTACTCAAGCCCTCCACACATCAAGACCATAAACAAGCACTTTCCTAGCATGCAAAGTTGAGCAAATCCCGCAGCGCACCATCAAATGGCGCGTTGGTAAACGTGGTCTCCTTTGCAAGGCAAAACATTAGTCTAGAGTAGTTGTTCCTGGTTTGATCCAGAAACAATGTGGCTAGCTGGTCCTGCCTGCCACCACTTGGGTGGCGCGGACTTTTTGCTATTTTTGCTGTTTTTTAGGTTTTATTTTTGCAGTCCTTTTTACCTTGAGGGGGGCTGGGTTTTGGGTGGTGGCCATGGGGGGTGCAGGCGCTTCTGCTAAGCGAATACCAAAGCAATCGAATCATTTTGTTTGTAGCCATACCAGCAAAACAGATGCTCCCAACTACAATGTTCTGTTGCAATAATCCTCATATCAATACCAATTCAGCAAATGCTACGTTCTCCTCCTAAAGCAAGCTGGGCATGTAAGTGTGTCCAGGACTCCACTTTCTCTTCGCTTTGTAAGACTTACTCCTAATAACATACCACACACGTAAATCTTCAATTATTGAATGGTTCAAATTGGTTACAATTTACAACGATGGAAAATGGAACAGGGAACTGGAGGATGCCACCAATAGGTCTATACTCGGTAGATTTGGTGGGTGGTTCATCATCTTGTTGCTTTACGAAACTCGGCTACGGGGACGCGGTTTGTTTACTATTATTTATCGACTTGAACACGATACTGCTAGCGACTCTGAATACGTTCATTACTGGAAATGAAGTGAAGTTCTATTTTGTTTGGATTGACACTCAGTGTTTGAGATTGGTAGAATATATGATATGATATCTTCAGAGAGGGACTCTTCGTAGCCGCTGTTGAAAGTTTCATAATTACCTGATGGGAGTCAGGTTGCGTATGTGAGACAGAACTTGAAGCTCCTGGTGACAGAGAGGTAATGTGATTATGTGAAAGGGGATGAAAACTTCGGATAGTGACTTCTAACTCTATCTTACCTATAACAGCATAGTTCAACATAGTTCAAGAATATAAGTCTCCATAACCATCTGAGATCAAAAGAAACGCCTTTTAGATTTCCCATACAAGTATTGTAACCAAGAAGTATCCTCCAGAAACATCCTTTCCCCATTCCCACTCCTAATTAATACTCCAAAAGGACTCCCAAAAAACTCCACATCGCTTTTCTCACAACCCAACATCCAAAAAAATAAAGGCTAGAACCTCCCCTCAACCACGCGGTCACGCTACGGGTATCCAACACATTAAACATCCTCTCCCATTCCATCCCATCGCATCTCATCCCCCTCACACTCAACACCCCTCAAATCTTACTCCCCGCCCAAGGTCCACCCCCCCGATAAACCCCATAATCCACCCCCCTCCCACAATACGTTGTCGTCCTCCCCAGCGCCGCCTGTTTCCTATCGTACGACGCAGTCGGCGGCTCGCCTATCGACGCGAGGACCGATTTCGTCTTATACCAAAGGGATTTCTTAGTTTTCGTTTTTGATTTTAATTTTGATGGGGAGAGGAGTGATTTTTCGGTTGATATTGTGGAGTAGGAGTGTGTGGTGTAGAGGGAGGATGTTGTCCTCTTGAAGGAGGTGTGAGAGGAGTGAGTGGTGGTGGTGGTGGATGTCATGCTTGGGGTTGTATGAGAGAGGGTGGGTGTGTGGATGAGTTTGATGAGTTTAGTTGTAGTGATTTTGATGGTTGGGATGAAAGTACAAAGTAACTCGTTGTACAGTACAACGTAAAGTCCACAAGAATCCGCTGTGTAAAAAAATGGTGTATGACAAATGCGAGACCGAATGGTATATATACACCAACCCCATCTCATCCCAAGGAAGTCCAAGTCCTGCTTACATGCATCCGCCCACCACCCCTCCATCTTACTTTTACCTACAGTACAACTAATCATACATAACCTCACACTGCCTTACTGTCTTTGCCGAACTCCCCGCGTAAGCGGTATTCAGGCAACGAGGCAGTGTAGCGCACCGTCCCAGTATCTTCCCTGAAGAAACCGTTTTTGCGCAGTCGTCGTCGGCCAACTTCCAGTATGACGCACCAGACGCATTGGCGAACGCGGGAAACAAGCATATTTCGCTGGAAAAGGGGGGAGGGTGTGACTCAATTGGTGGTTTTAGACGAGTTGTTGCGCGCAGGGGTGTGTTTGGTAGGGAAGTAGTGACTCAGTGGTGAGCCTTCGTTCGGGCCTGTACTGATTGGTTGACTTTGACGTACCAAATGTTCGGAGTAGAGTCAGATATTAAGAATTCGGGCGATGGATTGATGTAGGACTTCAATTTAGGACTTGAAATTTTGATCGAGGCCAACGAGGTATTTTTTCTTTTGCGAGGATGAAATGAGTTGGGTTTCATTTCGGCAAGCCGGACTTAATAAATACGGATGTAGTCGAGACAGAGCACTGATTATTCATCTGATGTTTGGTTGTCAAGTGGAATTTTAGTGCTTACTATTGAGAAAGCATGTTGAATGGTTCCGTAGTTAGTCAGTAAGATTACACCTGATGTACTCGAGTACACGAGATAGAAATATGACTGCTACTCGTACAGTACATGAATACATTTGAATTCATCCAAGGTTCAGAAATACTACAGTAAGTAGCAGGTATCCTTACTAGAGTTCCTACTCACTTGCTGACCATTTTGTTTTAAAAGCCTCCTGTCTGGAACCCTCTATGTCTAAGAAGAAAAGAAAGAATTAAAAAACGAATATGAAATGGAATTTCTTTTGACGACTGAAACAAAAGGCAGTGCGTACTAGTTTGACATCTTCTAGGATTACTGTTCACCTCTCACTCCAACGGTAATAACGGAAACATCCAAAAAAGGAAAGTAAAAAGTAACCACCGAAGATATTTCTTATTTCTTACACATAGATCCCCCCAAATATCTTTTCATATCTCTCATCTCTGACTAATTCTTTCCTTCATACTTACATGCCTAGTAATCATCCATGAAACGATGACACACGTACTGTGGTACGCAAGTCACAACTAACAGATGCAGTCAGCAACCATACATATGTACAGTACTTGCATGTCCACGCGTACAGTAACATGACGAGTTCTAGTAACATTTCACCATCCCCCATTTCAACATTTCACCATTTCACCATTTCACCATCTCACCATTTCAACATTTCACAATTTCAGCATTCCAACGACAATCCATATCTTATCCTACAGCCTGAATACAGTCCCAAGTCCATTTATGAATGTGAACCTGTCAAGTATACACAAGCCTTACTCGCTTCGCTTCCTATCCACCTCCCCCCAAAAACTGTAGAATCTTTTCTTACACCCCAGCCCAATCGCCCCCCAACCCCCGTCAAAAAAATCTTGATAAGCGAGAATTCACATAGGCTGAGATAGCCACTGTAGCACCAATAAACCCCGGTAGCTATCTAGACTGAACTCAAGAGGGATACATATATACATGGTACCGTAACAACCTTAGAAAAGTGATCAGGTCAAGGAAAAGGATGAAATCCAACGAATTGCTCCAATACCCTAGGTACAGCACTCTGTCTATCACCTGAGAAGAAATATAAAGTATACATCATACAACCCCCCAAAAAGAAGCATCACCCACCTCGCATAAAATCTCACAATCTATATACAACCCCTTCTCACCCCTCCCCGTCAAAAAGAACGCCTCCAAAAACCCCCTAAATGCATAACCCCCAAACTCCATTCATCCCACAACACCACCTATTTATTATGCACAATAAAATTCCTCAACGAATCCCACGTATCACTCTGCACATAGATATAATCCATACTACTCCTCAGCCCACTCTGCACCGTATCGGGATACCATCTGAACAGCCACATGACCATACCCCAACTCATCGCCGCGAAGACGGGCCATGCGTCGTGGGAGATTCGCTTTGATAAATGGGGGTCTTTGATTATCTTCGCGCGGGGATCGACGGAGAGTTTTGCGAGCGAGAGGCAGACTCTTGCGAACACTGAATAATTACAAACAAGTTAGCCATGTTTTCTTCTTTGGAGGGGGAGGAGGGGAGAATAGGGTGAGGTTTAGATACGGATATGGAATATGGTGTATTGGAGGGACAAGGAAACGGGAACATACCAAAAATCACAATCTGTTTACTAACACTACTAACATGCCCTTTCTTACTCCTCCGTCCAAAAATCAGATAACCCCCCAGCAGTCCCGCAAAAAAAGTATCAAAAGGCCCTTCCTTCCCCGGCTCCGAGCCCATATGTTTCAATGCCAACATCGTCAATTTATACACCGTCGCGTACTTGGCCAGGTTCTGGGCATGCGTGCGCGTAGCCTTTAATATAAGAGCGGCTTTTTCTTTGACGGTACCTGAGCGAAAGAGGAAAATCATGCTACAAAAGTGTTAGTGATATGGAATAGGAGGGGGTAAGGGGAAGATATACACAAGCGCATGTGGAAAGCGGACTTTCGCCCCGTAGACCGCACCATTGCGGGCGGCTTTTACGACGGCGAGGTAGTCTGCGTATTTGGGGTTGAGGATTATGCTTTCGAGTGCTTTCTACGGATGTTACAATCAGTATATGCCATGTATATGGTATTGTGGCGAGAACATACCTTGGCTCCTTCAATTGTCGACATCTTGTTCCAAAGGTCAAGTAAACCGAGGCTATTCGATTCGAAAGGGGATGATGCGTACTAAAGTGCTGGAAAACAGCAGATGGGCAATGTTACCGGTGTCTGTTCATCGGTGTAAAATTTGCGAGTGGAATTGGAGCTGAAGAGTAGGAGAGACTATTGTCAAGATTCGGTGTGAAGGGTTCACTCTGGCTTGTGAAGACCAGATGGAATGCAGGTGCATCGCATCCATCGCTGAGGCTCAGAAGTTGTGGGGCCGAACCATACCCGATGGGCCGATGGGCCGATGGGCTGAACCGTGGGGTAGGCTGCCTGACATATGAGGTATAAAACAGAGCTCGCAATCGATAAGACAATTTTTCTACCATCGCAAAAAATGTTCAAGCTCCAATCCTCCATCTATCTGCATCACCAACATAGTAACATCACCCACCCGCCACGATGTTACGCCAAATGTAAGCTCTCAATCCCAATCGCATTCTCCCCCTCTCCTTATACCCCAAACTAACCACATAAAAAAAGCAAACCCCGCAACGCCCGCAGCAAACGCGCCCTCGACAAAAAAGCCCCCAAACCCGTCGAGAACCCCAAAACAACCCTCTTCCTCCGCTACACAACCTGCTCCCAACTAATCCAAGACGCCATGACAGACCTCTACCAACTGCGCATCCCACTCGCCAAAAAGTTCACCAAGAAGAACCCCATCCACCCCTTCGAAGACGCCAGCTCGCTGGAATTCTTCTCCGAAAAAAACGACGCCTCAATCCTCGTCTTCGGATCATCAAACAAGAAAAGACCACATTCATTAACCCTGACACGAACATTCGGCTACAAAGTTCTGGATATGTTAGAACTATATCTGGATCCGGAGAGCTTTAGAAGTTTGGCGCAATTCAAGAACAAGAAATGCGCCGTGGGATTGAAACCGATGCTTTTATTCTCCGGGACGCCATTCGAAGGCCCGTTAACCGACGAATACACCATGATCAAATCATTCTTCACGGATTTCTTCAAAGGCGAGCCCGCGGACAAAGTAGACGTCGAGGGATTACAATACATGGTCTCCATCGCCGCGCGCGAACCCGTAGAAGGAGAGGAGTCCAAACCATCTATTCATCTCCGCGTCTACTTAATCAAGACCAAACGAAGTGGCCAAAAATGCCCTAGAGTAGAGGTCGAAGAAATGGGCCCAAGAATGGACTTCCGCGTCGGCCGCGTGAAAGAAGCGGATGAATCAATGCTCAAGGAAGCCCTCCGAAAAGCTCGCACCACCCAGGAACGACCCAAGAAGAACATCTCCACCGATATCGTGGGTGACAAGATTGGAAGGATACATTTGGGCAAACAGGACTTGAAGGAGTTGCAGACGAGGAAGATGAAGGGTCTCAAGCGAAGTCGGGATGTGGCTGATTCCGAGGATGAGGATATGATGGATGTTATCAGTGATGATGAGGAACCGGTTAAGAAGCCGAAGAAGGCTTAAGTAATTTCATGAGTAGATTGCATTGGGGCGGAGTCTTGGAGTTTGGAGTGTTGTGAGGAGGAAAATTACTTGTGGATTGTATGTTGGTGTTAACCATCAATTAAAAGAGCATTAAATCAGAAAATGCGTAAGCGTGTTAAATGTAACCTTTTGCAATTACATAAATGCTGAGGATTTCTTTTGATTGGGTAAGAGGTTGGTGAAATTCACTAGCAGTAAGCAGCTGTGTGTAATTCTGATTCATTGATTTCCCAAAGCTTAAGGGCGTCGAGCAAACATAGCCATCAGTTCTTCCCATTTTCGTACCATATCATAAAATGCTCTTTTCAGACAATCGTTACAAGATAATGACCAAAATAATCTGCCAAAGAAAGCTATGACATCTCCGGTCTGGGTGATCGAGCTTTCACTCAGCCCATTAGTTGATTCCTTTGGCCCCGAATGGTGGCATGCTGACACAGAAATACAGACCTGCTAGACGATTCAGCTGCTAGATATCAATAGCTCATCTAACTCAAACTGAAAGTTTGTGTGAAGCGTGGTGGAGAGGCTATCTAATCTGATCAAATCCGTCAGTAATTGCAAAATACAGCGGAACATGACTCACGTCTGCTGTATTTCAGGAGAAGTGCGGATGATTTGAGTCAGTCTTTCTAGTTTTGGGAAACGTTGTAGACACAATAGGGTTTGGCTATCGGATCCTCAACATCTTCGTAGTATGGGTGTAATCTTGTAAGGAACCCAGGGTCAGAGGGTGCGACCATTCCCCCGAGGAACGTCACCCATCCGTCTTCGATATCCACTTCGCTACCTATGTCACTATGAAGTTTGGCTAACTCGTAAGTGATGTCTGCAAAAGAAGATGGTCTGACTTGAGCTCTGAGGAGGGACAAGTAATCGACGGAGGCACTTAAGTCAGCAACGATCAGACGCAACAGCATATGTCGAAGAGGTGACTCTGAGCTGCGTGTGTGATTGTATACGTAGGAGACTACATGCATTGCAACACGCAATGTTACCAATCGCTGAGCATGGTTTGGTTCAGAGGAACCCTCGTTCCACCGATGGACGAAAGCTTTCATTGCAGCATACTCAAGCGCCGCAATCTGAAATTTTTCCGCAAGCAAAAACAACTTCACAAAGAGACCCCAGGCTGTGCCCATGACGTTGTCATTGTTGATTTCACGCAAGTCAAGGCCATGGTCGATGGATATTTGAGGTATGCAGACCTTTTCCTCATACATCCAGTATACCATAGCTTGGATAACTTCTGGATCGTCTTTTGGGAGTTTGATGCATTGGTCTTTGCTGGAAGCGTGTTGGAAGAAGCGGCTTTGACGACAAAGGATATCTCTATGAACGAAGAACGAGCGTTGTGCATCGCCATCGCCTATGATCAAGGTAATCATGTCTCCCGGAGCCCTGATTGTTACGTTAGCCAGTGGTCTCGGGCTGAGATGTAAGAAAGGCCGCAATAGTACATCGGAGCATCAAGGGGATTTGGTACGTGGAGTATATCGAGTCTTCTCAACTTACTTGAAAGAATGGTGGCCCCGGAGGGAGGAAGCTTCCAATGCAGCAGGGACTGGAGTGACTTCAGAAGGCTCCGTCTTTACCTTCTTTGTGGCCGGGCCATCCACCGTGAGAGATCTTGCTACCCTCTTCATATTGCCGATAAGACACGGACAGTGACGGAAGATGACAATCCAACAGGCTGAACGAAAACGCGTGGTGAACTGGGAACAACTTCCGTAAAAGAGACTGATTGAAGGACCTCTCCCAGATCCCGAAACTGAAGACAATCAAGCTATTCGTCCAGATGAAAGGATCAAAGTCGACGAGGTGAGCCCGCGATGCCGTATCAACTCAAGGCCAACCCCCCTCAATGTAGAAGATGACGCGGTGGCTGCGGAGAAGGTGTGGAGGAGTTGTGGAGGAGTTGTAAAGGTCAAGACCTCGACGCGGGGAAGAAGTTCTGAAATGTTGAGGGAAACCCATCTGAGTTGAGGAAGGCGCGTCCTAGACCTAGGTCGCGTCACTTGACCATCCTGGTTAGGAGTTGGAAGAGTCGGGAATTCGTGAGGAAGGAGCGACCGCGGGCTGGTTCTGCAGCTCGGGGACCTGAATCTTTGGATGAGTCTCCCCTCTTTACCTGATTTGGAGGCCTTTCCAGTTCAGTGCTGTTGATGGAAAGGGGTGGAGATGAAGAATTTGAATCTCCTTAAGTAAAAAAAGGAAAAGATTGATCGACTTTGATTGAAGGTTGAAAGCGATATAAAAGTGAGGGAGGAGGCAGGGGTTTGGTAATACACAGGAGAATTGTAGACTGCGCAGAAAGTGCGTATAAGAGCGTTTGTGTGTGAGATGCGAAATGATCGACTCGAGAAAGAGGGATTGTGTGGCTTGTGTTGGGATGAGCGAGGTTCTTTTGGCTATCTGAATATTCTTCATGTAACCTCTTTGCCAGCTCAACTTGCATAATATACTTTCTAAAGATTGGATTGGATGTACAACTGGAATTATTGTGTCTTTAGCCCGGGTCGTTCCCTTCCACTGTATTAGGCTGTATGATCACCACGTCTTCAACTCTCGAATCAAGCAAGACGGGACTGCAGGTTATGTGTTATATTATACATCTCATATCTAGCATTACTCACTACAGTCTCACCCTCTACACCTTCACACTCTGCAGCAACCTATTCTCGACCCCCTCAAGGGTATACTGATGATCCAACACAGCAATATTCTCAGCCTCAGCTTGGTATTGCTTGTAAGCATCCACACCAGGACCAAACATCTGTGGAGCAGCTCCTGGGCCCATCTGTCCCATCTGTTGCGCCATTTGGCTTGCAGCTACCCAAATTATGAGAAGAGACTCCATTAAACAAGGGACGGGCGAACATACCATTATCGCTTCCAAGCAAGTAATTGAAAACCGATTGCAAACCAAAGATACAGAGCACATACCACGAAATGGAAGACATCCATTGCGGGTCCATATCCTTCGTAGCCACACCCGCCTGCAACATGCTCTTAAACTTAATCGTCAAAGGGAACGGCAAACGAACTACCACCCATTAGCAAGAGCACTCATTCCCACATCCACCCAACAATTTCAAACTCACTAATCACAAAACCACTAAAAAAAGCATTAATCCACCCCATAATCAACGTCTGCGGAATAATCATCGCCATATTCCCCTTCATCATCCCCATCATTCCCTCCATGGCCGCCGGATCCGTCATGGGATTTGGCGCCGCTTGACCTTTCTTATCTGGCTCCTTGAGAAAGGCGCCGTTTTCGAGGGCCGTGACCATGTAGTCTTTGCGTGCGTTGAAGGAGGGGGTGGAGATGGCGTTAGCGTTCATGCGGAGGTTGATGGCGCGGAGGAGAGATCGTTGTTCGCGGATTGTGGGCAGGTCTTGTTTTTTGGGCGTTACGGCCATCAGGACTGTTGCGTAGTGGCGGAGGATACCGGTTAAGATCTGAGGAGGTCAATGAAGATTCCGGAGACATTGGGAAAGAGGATAATGTACCATGACTATTGTGATGGGTATTAGGATCCAGTAGCTGTAACGATGATTAGCAATTATTTTCTTCCGGCTATTGATTTGAAGACTTGCAATAACTGGGGATCCCTATGGATCGTTTGCACAGGAACTTGCGGCATGATTACAAGTTCTCGATAGCTTCTGAATTAGTGTTTTGGTCGTTCACCCTCAGGGTGTGATGTTGAAGTGAGGCTTCTCGGCTCCAGTTCGGCCTCAGAGTTCAAGACACGTTCCCCCAATATCTACAGTACTTGATACGCGACTTTCAACACCTTGCAACTTCTACCAAAAGAAGACACACCACCACACCAATTGGTTCTCCGCATTCAAAATATAAGAATTGCAAATATGGCAGTCTCACAGGAGAGAATTAGTGTTCACTCCCTAGCAGGTAATTACCCCAACTCTTCAATTCATACATACCATACGCAAAATATGAGCTATACATCCCCACAGCAAAACCAACTCAACACACAAACTAACACCTCTCCCAGACCTAAAAAACACCACCGACGATGCCCTCCCAATCTACCTCAACTCCCTAAAATTCACCCAATCCCACACCCTCACCGACGTCCGTCTCGGACTAGGTTACAGCGCCTTCGCCATCTGCGCCGCCTGTTTCTACTGGGACTACACACTGGGCTTCGAGTCAACCAAAGTCTACACCGCAATCGCCGTAGCCGCCTACACCCTCCTCAACACACTCCTCACCATCTGGATCTGGGGTGTGGAGAAATCCACCGTCTACGTCGGCACCAATCCCGCGGGCGAAACCATAACCATCCAAAGCAAAGTCGATAAACACAAGCCGGTCTACCGACTCACGGTCACGACGAAGGGGAAGGATGGCAAGAAGAAGGTGAAGAGGGTGGATAAGGCGTTTGCGGGGTGGTTTGATGGCAAGGGGCATTTTGTTGCGAAGCCGTTTCAGCAGATGATGGCGAGGAGTTTTGAGGTTGTGGGGAAGGCGGATCCGAAGAATGCGGTGGTGGAGGAGAAGAAGAAGAAGGTGCTGGTTGATAATAGGAGTATGGATGAGAAGTGGGCTAGTCTTTTGGCGGAGAGTGAGGGGAATGTTGCGGCTAGTACGGCGACGCCGGAGAAGAGCGCGAAGAAGAGGGGGAAGAAGGCTGCGTAGGTTAAGCGATATGTGGTGTATGGAATAAGCACGTTGGAACTGGGAGGCTAGATTTTGGGATTGGGAAAAGTCCTTGGGTTATGGGGGATTGGGCGTTCTTTGGGACGGGCGGTATGTTGGGTGCATAGCGTATGAATCTTGTATCTGCTATCCCTTAACATCTCAATCTCTATACCACCTTTATCCTTCATTTCTTTTCCCTGTTCTCACTAGGTATATAAGCTTGGTATATAAGCTTGGGGAGCGAGAGGAACTAGTATGGATCCAATACCGCCCCAGGTAATTCTTCCATACATACTTTTCTTACCCCTCCAAACATCCAGAATCGAGAAACAAGTCAATCCTCAGATTTTATATTTCCACAGGCCTTCATAGTCCCACGTCCTACACAAATATCCATACAACACCCGACTCCCATGTCCAACTATAAAACCCCTCCTCCCCCTCCCAACCCCAACACCAGCCCACAAGCAGAGATCCATGCAAAATATGGGAATCGTGCACAACGCAAAGAACGAAACCTCTTCGAACTAAGCGAACCGCCTCTTCCATAGGTCTACGCCCGAGATCTCTACGGAACCATCGTGGTTGATCTGTTACAGTATCTGTTTAAGTGTGTAGGAATGCAAATGGGATAGAGGTTTTGCTGTCGAAGGGTGCTTTGTTGTCGATTTTTGGGAATCTGCCGTATCACGGTTTTGGGGGGTTGAGAGGGAAGGTGGGGTTATGAGTGGGGAAGGGGAAAGGGGGTGGATTCAATCCCTTGTCATAGTCCAAATCGTTTTGCAGATTCATGACCACTGTACGCACTGGAGGAACTTGCTGGCACAAAGTAAGAAGCAACCTTACTTCTGCTTCCTCCTCTGCATCACGTTGCTTCTCAGGTTACTAAAGAGGGGTTGTGGGAGAAGATTTGTAGTCTGTCAATTGCGCCTAGCTGGATTTGTGGTTGATGGCTGTTGTTCGCAGGAGATGGGGTTTTATAGATCATGGAGGCTTCTGGGGTTCGGGTGTGTAGTCTCTGAGGGGTAGTGTAGTCTTTTCAAGGAGAGGTTTTTGGATGTTGGAGTGTGGAGTGTGGAACATGGGTACTTCTTCATAGTAGGATACTGAATACTTCCCTCCACCAGCTCTATTAAAAATAAAAAAGGATATAGCAACTTCCCCTCCCCTCTCCCTCCTCCCCTTTAGTGTTTTTTCCCAAATAAGCGAGCTCTTGATCATAACTCCAACACTTACTTTAACTATTCACAATCCCGAAGCTATCCAACCTTTCTTCAAAAAGATCTCACCACAATTCAACGTTGTAAACCTCTTTCTAAATATACAATATAGTTCTCCTTTCGGTGAAGCGGTATATCACGTTGTAGGTAAAATCTGGACTGAATTTTAACCACGGGCTCGTTCTAGATGCTAGATACTTTCAAACCTAGAATTTTGGGCTTTTAGTAAAGAAAAGAGTATAGTATGGTATGCTTTTTTTGGTACTGGTGAAGGAGTCGTAAGGCTTTATTTATGGATGACGATGTTGATGCGTGGTTGTGCTATGGCTACTGCCCGAAATTGCGGAAATGTGTATACTATTCATCCTTAGGTATGTCAATAATTTGTGTTTGGATGGGATGGAGGGTAGGTATGTCATTTTACTGAAACTCACTTTGATCTTCTTTGCGGACAAAGTGGTCGTTGTTGGTTGTAAGCGAGAAAAGTGAGTTTCGACAGTAGAGTTCTTTTTGACAGTAAAAGTTCAGGGGAATGGAGATTGTTCGGATAATTACGTGTTTGAAGGTGGGACTAGGCTGAGAAGGAGTTTGTTTGAGGAGTGGAGGGTGATGGAGGGAGTTGATTTTGGTGAAAGGAGACTAAGTTACCTTTTTTCTTTTGAAGACAAACAGGATGATGAGCGAAAACATCATTGTTTTTACTTCTTTTCTCTTTCGTTACAGTGGAAGAGACAGTGAGGGGAAGGCTTCTTATAGAGAATTTGATTGAACGATAGAAGTGAAGGTTCTCTATTATTGGGAGATGTGTATTTACTATTGTGATCTGTTTAGTCTTTCATGAGTGGTAAGATTGAGAGCAAGTTATTCAAAGAATCATGTGTTATGTGAGGATGACAAAGTCTCTACCACTTAATTTCATTTTATGCAGTATTATCTTTGATAATACAGGAGCATGATAAGTCATCGGAAATCTCAGCTTACCATGGTGATAGGTCTCTTTCTAACAACCTTCTCAAAAAAGACTAGTGGGCTATCAAAATACATGCAAAGCACCTCTCTTGAAATGAAAATCCAAGCAAAGAACATCAACGTATCACACATTTAATAGCCAAAATAGTTGCAAGTTTACTCCTGCATACTAAACCAGCATACACAATCACAAACTCCCACCCTTGGAACCTTCAGAGAGCACAAGGGGTCTCCACCCCACTCTATCAACTGGCGACGTGGAACCCTACTGTATTTCAAACTTCCAAAAAGACACCAGACCAATCACGAAAGGCAGAATGGAAAATCATCTGAACGAATTCCAGCTGTCGGAAAAACGTTCGCTTTCGAATTCTTCATCGCTGTTACGTGAGATGTGTTCAGATTTAGGAGTGAACACGTCTTTGGTTTGCTCAATATCCCAGTTTTCGCTGGCGATGCCAGGTTGTTGTGGGGTTGGCTGGCATACAGCCACATGGCTGAAATACAGTAGCTGCCACCAAGTCCTCCGGTGTGTTGATTCAGCGAAGTCAGAATAAACTGATAGCCGATTGTGTCAGCAAAGGGTTAATAGAGGATTTGATGTAGACACGAAGGTGGTTATTTTGACGGGTGGTTTCGTCAGCACAAATTTGATGACTTATTATACCATTATTATTATTATTATTATTGTTATTCCTTTTAACGTGCTGTGTGAGTCTGAGACTATAGTAGCACGGCTGGGGGTTTCCCTCCAACAGATGAGTAAAGCTGTACTAAATACATGTTTGAGAAGGGGGTTATGGTCATTACAGTTCTTGGGTTGTTGGAAGCAGCTAGGCTTCTGGTTATGACAAAAGAAAAGTTGTTATGTTGTAGTACGCCCCCTCGTTTCACGCCCTGTACGCTACGCTTCCTCGTTCTCGTCTTCCTCGTCCTCGTCTTCCTCGTCCTCATCTTCGTTCTCATCCTCAGTTGCGCGTTGTGTGTGC